ATATATCAGTTTCTTGCAGGAATAATTTTCTTTGTGAACATAATGTTTCAAAAGATTTTTTTTTTTTTTTTAAGTCATTGCAGTTTCATTTTTAGAAAGGCGAGGAATCCAACACATCCTACTCTGAGTAGGGCTCTTTGATGGGTTGGGATGCTGCATGAATGATAAATATATCCGCAGACTCAGAGTAAATATTCAATGGCATGTAACTAAGGTATAAAGAAGTAAATTTTATACAAGTTGGCCACAGACGCCTTGTCATTTCCCAGTAAATTAAAGAGTCTTCCATTGGACCTATAAATTCACCGTACTAGTATTCTTCCATGACTACAGAAACAGCCTCACCCTGTGTTGATGGAGTGTTCCATTCCCTACAGATAACAAGAGTCCAGTGCTGTTCCTGTGCGTACCACGGCACCAATAAATTGAGCACAAACCCCTTTTTGCGGCTCTTCCTGTGGCTGCCACTCAGTACTGGTCTTTCTTCTTGACTTTTTTTTTCCCAGAACCTTGGTCAGAGTCTTTGCCAGAAAAAAAAAAACCTAACGTGCTCTGCTAATTACTTATAAGCTTATAAGCCATGTTTTGATAACAGAAGATAACAGAAGCACAGCAGTAGGATGGAAATCTTTCTCCCGTTATGAATCACATAGCAGGTCACCAGTACTGCCCAATGTTCCCAGTCGCTTTCCAGCACAAGCTGATCCAAAGTAATGGAGTTGAAGGCCATACTATTAGTCTGGATTCATTTCAGACTCCAGATTTGTGTGTGTCTGAGATAAAACTAATACCTTCTTTGCTTAAAATCCTGTGGTTTTACATATTTTACTCCTCCTCGTGACACTCTGAATATCAGACCTTGCCCATGATTGGAAAGGGTCTCCTGGGGGAATGGGTCAATGCTGTGCTCTGCAAGGAAGGGAGACTTCTAGCATGGTGCTGAGCTTATAAAACAGCCATAAGCCATCATCACTTGCTGAAATATCCTGAAGTAAAGGGCAGGAAGCACCTAGATGAGCTTGAGATTTGGAATACTACTAGTGCTTCAAACTCATGATTTCAAGGTGAAGCTCACACTGGGCTGGACATACCTATTTGATAGGATAAGGATAGTTGTATTAGCTCAAAGTACATTGAACCTTTTCTGCTTTTTACTGTTTTTCATTTTCATACACATCTTTACTCCCAGACCTGAAAAAGGATTAAAATGCCAGAAAGGAGGCAGATCACTCTGCATTTCTAGTCACATACCAGACATCTCAAGACACATAGTTCTCACAAGATTTTCTACTCTTTGTAGACCATAAAAGGCTCAGATAACCTTCTAAAGTCCACTCTGATCTCCTTAGTCATTAAAAAATAAGTTTTTACTGAGAATCTAAGCTAGATTCCTGCTGCAGTGATCACATTCAATCAATCCAATTTCACTCCACTGCTTCAGAAGTCATTTATGCATTCATTCATTAAGAGAGTGTAACAGAAGTCTTCATTCAAAACAAGATTCTGACATTCAAAACAAGGCTGTAGCTATTGCAAACAATGCCTCAAAGTACTGCATGGAATCATTTTCATACACATTATTTCATTTCAGATTGTTATAGGTGTTTGCTTTTCTCTCTCTATCCCATTCACTGTTCAGAAATGCTCTGGAGAAGCAGTGCTGTCGTGCTGTACAGAAGAGAACACTCACCTGTCCAACCTCCAGGAGAAGCAGGCAAATACTGATCATCTAAACTACAAACTGGTAAGTTTAATTTCATATTTTCCCATTACCTTCACCACTGTGAAAGTGAAATCACAAATAAAGCAAGTGATTGACTTGGCGTTCGATGAAATTTCTGGAAATTTCAGTCTTAGTAAGTACTTCTAGTGCGTGTTCTCCAGCAAGGTAAGGCAGTCTGGTAGAAATAGCCAATTAGTTGAACTGCCAAATTGTTTAGTGGCAATAGTATAACTATTTCTCTGGCTGTGATAAAACCTTTTAGTCTTGGTCTTGCTGAAGAAGTTGATGATTTAAAAAATTCCAGCTGTTGTCTCTTATCCGTGAGTTGTTGTGTATTTAAATTAGAGCTGATAGTATTTATTTGCTCTTTATAGAAGGGTACTACATTTGAGGCCCAGGGCACAGTCTGCCTTTTCATTACAGGTTTGTACAGCACCTAACACATAGTCCCCCAAACTGCTAAAGATATTAAACATTTTATGATAATGTCGTGCTGGGAAGAGTGGTGCTTTTACCAATTCATTAGTTTGCAGGTTATATTTTGGGGTTACTGAAAATAGATCAAATGGGACCTCCTCTAGAGGAAAGACCTTCTGCAAACACCCAAAATCCTTTCTTAGGATCTGTGAACAGCAGACAGGAGAAAGTCACAAGCCCCTACAATGTGCTGTGCAGAAACTTTCAGCCATTTTTTTCCATGGCATATTTAGGCACATCCACAGAACCAGGCAGACCCCATACTAACATCTGCATTCACAGCAGTATTGGATCCAAGGAGGAAAGGAGTCAGCCATATGCTAAAGGTCTTGGTTATTTTCCAGTTTAGAGGAAACTTTTCGATTAAATCATCAGAGATGAACATTTTAAGAAAAGGAGTGAAAAAGCAAGGGGGGAGAGAGAGGGATGGATGCAGTATTTAGAGTCCAACAGCCATTGAGGGCTGTGATGCCGTTTGTACGCAGAAACAGTGGCATCTAGTGGGCAGCTTCTCAGATGAGAAAAGATGAAGTTAGCAGACATTGAATATAAAACAACTCGGTGATTAAAGCTAATGATATGTTTATCTCTTTCATAGATGAAAGATTTTCCCAAGTCTGTTGTAATCCTTTTCTGTAAAAGCATTTGGAAATCAACTATTTTACCAATTTTTCCATCTTCAGTATACAAATTTCACAACCTTTATTCTTCCTATTTTCATTATAATAAGCCTTCTCATAGCTTTCGTATGTAAATTCTAATTACTTAATGTCATATAGATTATCATAAATCTTCACCCAGTAGGAAAGCGAATGGTTTGTATGCACATGTAAAAGTCTAGCATTTTTCCCCAAGGTTTTAGACATGAATAAAAATACATCTCCAACTAGTCCTTGAACACACTTGATCTAGTTCAACTTTAGATGATTTCAAGCACAGCATGGCTTTGAGGGAAAAGTGTGTGTAAAGGAAGAGAATAAAAAAGCAGTAGAACAGCCACAGTGAAGGACTCTGGAAAAAGCTTGGTTACATCATTTCTGTAGCTATAACTAAATATAAAGTTTATGCAGTGTTAACATTTTATGCTAAATATATATGAGTTTTTTCACTGCTGAGTCATAATAAATACTTGAGTTAAATTATTTATACCTGATCCTAAGGTCCTGGTTTTTTATTAGCCCACTGGATTACATGTAAAATTCTGTGTATGCTTTAGGGACATACAGAAATGTATAATAAGCAGGATGAGGGGCTGCTACATCCGTGGCAATAGCCTAAAGCAGTCACACTCATAACTTCCCTCTCTCTTCAGACCTCAGGGTTTGCCAGTGCTGAGCAAACTTCTGAAAGTCTGCTGTGCTGTACTGGCTCGGGTAGAATCATAGAATCACAGAATCATTTAGGTTGGAAAAGACCCATGGGATCATCGAGTCCAACCATCAACCCTACTCTGCAAAGTTCTCCCCTACACCACATCCCCCAACACCACATCTAAATGACACTTAAACATGTCCAGGGATGGTGACTCAACCACCTCCCTGGGCAGCCTCTTCCAGTGTCTGACCACTCTTTCTCTGAAAATTGAAGGGTAGGTTGAAGGGTGTTTCTCTGTTCACTTGCAGGGCCCAAATTAATTTGTATGAATGGAGGAGCAGGCTTCTTAAATCTGGCAGAAGAGCTGGCTGTCTTTAAAAGAAGTATCTTGGCCATATTATTCATGATTACAAGATTACAAAGGCACTGATAGGCTTCAATCTAGGTTTTTCTTCTCTATCTAGAATTTTCTGTTCTCTCTCTTGTTCTTTACACTTTTTTCTCCCATTATTCTTTATGTTTCAAACTTTCCTATATAGTGTCTGCTGTTTTTCTTGTCTTGAGATATCTCTTCAGGAGATACGCAAATTGAGAGCTATGTATTGAGAGTATCATGAATGAGCCCACAATAGCAGGCTGATGATACTTTTTTACACTCCCAGATTTAATCTTTGATTTCATCTTCACAGTAGGGGAAAGCAAGCCTTTGATGCTTTGAGATTTAAATTATTTCCTTGGAATCATCTAGGAGAGCTCTCTTACTGGAAGGAAAGTACACTGGAAGGGCTGTTGATCTATTTGAGCCTACCAAATGCTCTGTTGCAGCAGTGATTTCCTTATGTATCTTCATAAAATTGTTTTTCATTTTGCTGCCACTCCTCAGGCTCTCCATGTGACTGCACTGAGGAACTCTGAAAGTTAACTTTGGTCCATTCATAACTAATTCCATTGCCATTACAGATCATAACAGACATGTTAGAGACATCAAGACATTTTTCATGTTGTTTTGCTGATATCATATGTTTGCCATCTGACTGTATGAGATACTCTATACCAAGGCATAAGTTATAAAGGCACACAGGCAGAAAAGGGATGGCTGGATACATGTGCCTAACCTGGCAGAATTATAAAGGAAAGGGAAAAGTTATACAGAGAAACTACAAAATTATTAGACTGCACCATAGTGCTTCCCAGATGCTGATCCTGGAAAGTCCTCTGATGTTTCCTCAGAACTTTGCAATATTGAGCCTCACTTCCAGTGATTTTTGTCAGCATATAGTATGGGAAACTTAAGGTAACAAAATAATCTGAAAATGGATTTGAATCAAGCTTTTATTATGAAACAATATATGAAATATTCATCAGGCTATTACACATACATTAGTGTTGCATAAACTAGTGTTGTTATGTATTCATACAATAGTGTTATTTAATGTACAAAACTGTAACTAAGGATTTCTCCAAAGTCCAGAAAGCTGTCCTTCTCTTCATGTTTATATTCTGTAATTTTCTACGGACCTGTCCCTCAAATTTCCTTCTGCTTCAGACAGTCTAAAACTGTACCCTTAAAAAGCACACTCTAGGACTAATCAGTCATTCATTTTTGCCTGTATCTCAGAACTGATATATTCAACCTTGATATATTTATTCATGCATGCAATCATTACTGCTAGAAAATATATGGTGGTCTATAACATATCTAGCCATTTATAGTTGGAAGCTTTGCTCTATCAGTGGGATTGCAAAGAGGTTCAGCTCAACCATGAGCACGTAGCCAGTGCAGCAATAATCTTGTCCTCCTTGACACAATCATAGTATATATCCTTTTCAGTGCCCATGAAGAGATCTGCAGGGGAAAAAAAAGAAAATATAATTAGAAAACATGCTGACATTGGCCATACCAATAACATATAAAGGGCTTCAAATGATTTAAGCACTTTTCTAACATTAATTCTTCCCGATTGCCTGTGAGCAGCTATTGTGAAGCATTACAATAGCCAAGTGAGCCAGCTTTCAATTGTGTCTCAGCTGGAAGATTTTTTGAAAACTGCCAACTTACCTCCTAGGGCTAAGGTTTGGGAATTTTATGTTTTTGTTTTGAAATAAGTTTCAGACCTTTGGCTTTTTGAGGATTAACATAGCTCCATTGAAGTCTACCCTAACATCCAGATTTTCAAAGGTATTTAGATATGTACAGGTACAAATAGATAGCAGAATTTTAAGCAGAGAAACTTTCTGTCTGTGCTTAGTGCTTAGATGCTTTTGGAAGTATGGAGCTAAATCTGCAACTTTTATATTAAAAAGTTAACTGTGAGTGATACAGCATCACTGTTATGGTGATGACTCAAATTTATCCCAGTTGACAAATTTCATGTCTGTTTAAAGAATGTAAGCAGGAAGGCTTATCCTTTTATGAAAACAAACAGATGCAGGTATTCCTTCTTTTTATGGCATCACAAAGAGCTATTGGGTAATTGGAAGAGTTCAAGATGAATACTTATATTTTACAATCCTATATGATCCTGACCTCTAAATACCATGTTTTTTCTAATGTAGTGCTAAGTTCATATAATTGCGTGTGAAACACACAAGGAAGAAAAGGATGACCATATCACAAACCTAATGTGCATGGAGTGCTATTGGGATGTGTCGTTGTGTCACTGATTGGTTTGTGAGTAGTGCCTGGTTTCCAAGCTGTGCTTTGGAGCGTGGTTTCCCATTGAACTCTATGATGCATGTGATAAACAGAGGCAATAAAGCAAATGATGCTGTCTGTTACACTGATGTTGAATATCATAAACAGAACTAATAATCCCTGCAAGCTCTGTGAAAATGTTCTGTGTTAATATTTACCAGCATGTGTAGTAAATAGTGAATTCCATTTAAAAAATTGGCAGCTAGCAAATGAGAGCTGAGATGATACTGCAGAGAAATGCAGTATTAACACAAACAGAACTGCGGTGCCACAGCTGAGGCCTAAGACACTGATGGTCCCTGTCCTGCTCTGTTGCCAGACACCTTTCAGCACCAGGTACTTCCTCCAGCCATTGGTTATTCTCTCCTCTTCCAGTTTGTGGCTCTGCCTTTTATTAATGAAGAAAGAAATATGTACTGTAAAATAAGTATATATATACCAATTGCAGGGTAGGCAAAGCCATTAGATTGGATGCACTAAATCCCTGTTGCAGTGTGGGAGGCAATGTGGATTCAGCCAATGTTCAAGGAATTGTTCTTCTGATCTCTGCTCCAAGCGCTGGAGGTAAAGCATATACTCCTAGTTAAAGAAAAGAAAAAGTAATTTAATTATGTCCTCACTCAAGTGACCAGGAGAATTTTACAGTTTATATAAGACCAATTAATCTACCCCTTAAAATTCTCAGATACAGTGAAATGGTGTTGCTAATCAGCTTGCCCCAACCTAGCAATATTTAATGAATGACATCATCATCCAGATCAGTGAAGGCGTTGAGCAAGAATTTTACAACAATATTAATAAATAAGGAATTCTGCATCCACATTTCTTATTTGCATTTCAGCATAGAAGCCTCTGTTAGTCCTGAGGGTGCAGAAGGATTCTCACAGATAGGTCTGTTGTAGCCTCTTTTGAAAATTGATTCCTGCTGATTAAAAACTATTAACCCCTTATAGGATCATGTGGCAGTACTCTGGAGGGTTCTAGTAGTAGCATGCATCAGTGCTTTCTGTGATACATAAAATAATGTGAATTTACCATACTAATTTACTGGTTTTTGGTGTAAGCAACAAGTTATCAAACTAGAGCGGGCTGTGTACCAAAGCTTGACCTCCATCAGGAACAAAAAGCTTTGTGAACACTAGATACATTTTTTGAAATTATACCCCCATTGCTTTGCACAGCAGGCACTGCAGGAATGGAAGCTGTAGTGTAAACCCTTTGCACTGGCCAAGTATTCCCGCTGTCATCCAGTTCTCTGCTCTTTGTGCTGACCAGAGGGTTTGTACACTGGGTGCCAGCAGGAAGCATTCGTGTTCTGCCTTTTACTGTGCTTTCTCCTCACAGCACAGGGAGACTTGGCTCAAATCCCCCCGTGAGACTGTCTTAGGAACTTGCAGAGAACAGAGCTATATGACCGAGAAGATGTCACATGATAAAAAGCAGGGTCTCAGTCAAAGTAAGATTAACACTTGCTGATAACATAAATGACATTTTTTAAATAATCAAAGATGGCAGATCTTGCAGTCTGTAACTGGACAGGCTTTTTGACTGAAACAGCACTGTGGAAGTCACACAGTGTCACAAAGAATTGCAAATTAAATTCCCCAGCTCAGCATGATCTGGCCCACTACAAACAGCTTTTACTTAAAATAGATGAACAGAGGTGGGTTCATCCCAGCATTCATTTCATTCTGCTACAAAGAATCCATAAAAAATCAGTTTTTCTCCGTGAGCTGGTGGTAGGGCTGTGCACAGGGATATAGCAGCCACGCACCTTCCTTCACAAGGGAAAATCTCTATGTTCCACACAGCAGGAGGGAATAGTTCGCTTTTTTATCAGAAGATATTTCCTTTTCTACTGAAAACCTTGACATTTAGTGAGAAAAACAAATATGTCTGGATTTTCTTACAGAAAGCCAGCATTGCTGTATAGAAAAAAAAAAGAAATAAAAAGAAGGTTGGAATTTTTCAACACGTGTTTACTACTAATCAACGTAGGATGGAAGGTGGCAAGGACAAAGCAGCAGAGGTCAGTAACCAAACACTTCTACTCCCCACCTAGAATGATAGAATAGCTCAAGTTGGAAGGGACCCATAAGGATCATTGAGTCCAACTCCCTGTTCCTCACAGAACTACCTAGAACTAAACTATTTGACTAAGCCTTGTCATATGCATGCATGTAGCTTCTTGTTACAGTAAGTATGACCATAGATGGGAGCTGTGCTCTTGCTAATTTGCAAAAACTACAAGGGTCATTTAACAGCAGCTTAGAAACCAACCCAATCCTGAATGCTGCAGGCAGCAGTGAAGCCCACGTCTGCTGGTTTTCATCTCTGCTGTACAGTCTTCATCGTAGAGGATTGTTAAGGAGCATGGTGCCATATCCTTGTGACAGCTTTGATTTGTTGTGGCCATCACACTTGACAAAGAAGTGTGTACATCAGGAGTGGTGTATGGCCAGGTGGACTCGTTTTGGCCAGTCTGCAATAACCAGTGGAAAGGGAAAAGCCTGCACTGTCTCCATGAGCCTGGCACACACCCAGCTCAGTCCTGCCAGGTACGTAGCGCTCGTCATGTCCTACGGATCCAGAGGTGTTCAACACCTTGCTGAACTCAGCCCCTTGTACTCATCACATGTGCACCATCTATTGTGTGCTTTCTAGCTTCTCTGCGGTTTGTCTCTTCAGAACCATGTAATTTTAGCACAGTTTGTTTTCTTTGGAAAGGAATAGGCCGTAATTTTAAAATACCTTAAGTACCTCTTTGAGACGTGCAGAATTATATGTTACATCTTGTCAAAGCAAGTAAAACAGAAGGCTCCTTAATTATTTTACTTTTTCTTTTGTTGTAATATGGTTTAGAAATAAATAAATGCAAATATTGCATGCAGAAGCAATGCTGTTGCATTAAGCCAGCAGCTGAAAACTTCTACAGTATCATAACAAACCATGCTATCTGTAGCATTCATGAATAAGTGCAGGAAAGTAAATGATTTTAAAAGCTTATTCAGAAAGCTACCTCAATCTCCAGACTGACCACTGACACCTACATCTCCTTTCTGCCTTGAGTGCAGAATGTACTGTAAGCAGAAGACATTTCCTGTTATTTAGTTTTTCAGGAACAACCTGATGAAATCCACATTTCTATAAATGAAAAGCCACTTTCTTCTCAATAATTTAATCGGCATTTTTGAACCGTGATAAATAATTTCCACATTCTGCAAGCGTACATTTCCTGAGCAATATTCAGCACTTACAGAATGCTACTTAGCAGTAATTGAAAGAATGTAAAGGGTTTTTTTAATATTCACAGAAGTCAGCTGCATAAAAGGGTGATATTCATAATGCATTGCTTGGAATTAAATCTATAGAAATTTAATACTAAGCACAAATGTTTTGGAGGTTTTGGTGTCGAGGCTTTTTTTAGTTAATGTAATTTAAAAATAAATATCATAAATCACCCTCATTGGCTCATCAGGGAAACCAGCTTTTCTCGCTCTGTCTTCACGACGAGTTCTCAGAATCTGTTTGGCATCTTTTTCAGGCAAAATTGGTGAAGTGTCTAAAGACAGAAAAGCAGAAATTAGTTCTGAAATTACCAAAAAGTTAATATTTTATCTGTCAGTTGCAAAATGAAACGTCTCCAAACCTGATATTTGTCTATATACAAAGTGTTCTTTCATTACAGTCCCTTCCCAGGGGATATTGCATTCCAGGAGATATGAGTGGAATTTTAAACCATTTTTATACTTGTGCTTTCTATAGTTCTACCTGTATGAAGCAAACCCTACGTATTCATGTTACTCTCTAAAATGAGAAAATATAACTGCACCATCTAACCACTGACATTAGTAGCTCTTCCAATTCTTTGTTCTTTTCTGCATTGCTTTACTTTTTAGGATTATTTTTCAAAGTAATGAGTTAGACATTCGTTGCAAAGGAGAGATTGCATTGAACATTCAGCTTGCAGGACCTTGGTAAGATAATATTAAAATAATAAGCTAGTAAAATTAAACTTTTTGGGTTTACAATAAATTACTACAGTGTAGTAATGCAGAGAGAAAAATATCAAATACAATAGCATGATTGTTAAAAATCTCATCATGGAAAGTCTGCAGTATAAAAATAAGTATTCAAAATGAATATGAAGATACCAAAATACAAGGTTGGTGCACTAATACTATTATAATATGCTCTGCAGCTCTACACACATACGCAGGTTTGTTTTATATAAACTCCTACCTGTAAAAGTGGTCATCAGGACCAGAAAGGAGACAAACACAAGTAACTTCTTCATTTTGACTCTGCTTTCTCTCAGTCTGTTCCAAAATGAGTAATGCTGACTGAGGCATTAGCCTATTTGAAGTCACTACGTCAGTCACAAATGTTTGTTTATGCTTTAACTAATTTGCGTGATAGTATGATTTTGAAGACATCTGGCCCAAAGTTTTGAATTAGGCTATTATCTGCTCACACATTCTCAGCATAACTCTGTTCCTGAGGGAAGGAAAATAGAAGACCTTTTTTCCACCTCAGGCTTCAGAGTTACATTGGATATTTAAAATTTGTGAAAATAAACCACATCACCTTACCTTTAGCACAGCAAGCAATGGTTTCAAGTGCCTAAGGTGAATGATTGTTTTTTAAAAGAAACAATTGCCCGTTATTAAACGTCAATCTCAAAGGCAGCCTCAAAGGGGCCCCTTTTTCAAAAATAGTCTCTAACTTTGTGCCAGCACAGAAGTACATATTAATGTGGTTTAACTGTAGCAAAGCCAAATTATCACCGCTGGAAAACACAGCAGAGAGATTTTTGTCAAACTGTTAGAACCATACAGATGAAACTCACGTAATTCTTCTCTTTTCAGGACGAGGTAGTAGAAAACAGGACTTCAGATGTCCTTACCAGTCAACATCGTGTGAAGTAAGGATGTGGGTTAGCAAATGTCATTGCAAACAGTGAGTTTCTGCCTTGAGAAGTGGGACCATCTGCACCTCTCCCGAGCAGCGCTGGACGTACAGCACCAGCATCACCTACTGCAGGAGAAGTGAGTGTACCTTTGAATATTGCGTATGAAATAGGGAGTCAGAATTCATCTGTGATTCTCGTGTGAGGGATGTGAATAATTAGAACTTTGCCTGGGAGGGAAAGGTGCAGCACATCCTGTACCTGCTGCAGACACGGCTTTGCCCAGGGCTTCCCAGCCAGCCCCTGGGCAGCCCTTCTCACCTCTGCCTTTGCGTTCCCTAAAGATGGGGTGTTCATTCTGTCCGTGCCACCATGCACACGTCAGCCAGTTTCAGTGAAATCTGGCAAAGAGCTGTGGGTCCTCAAAACGTTAAAGGTTGAAGAAACCAAACAGCAGGTCAGAGAGAGGGGCCTTCCTCTCTCACACCTTCGGGGTGTCCTCAGCTTCAGCACACACCAGCCAGGCACATCTCCTCGGCTGGAGTTTATGTGTTTATGAGTTTATAAAAACCTGACAGAATCAAGGGCTAAACCCTCGAGGGCTGCTGGTGTGAGGGCTCGACCGGCGCCATCGCAGGGGATGGAAACGAAGCAGCTCAGGGGCAGTTCTGGGGTCCCACCTTCTGTTACAGGGCTTCTCTTGGAAACCCAAGTTTTGGCAAACTGTGGAGCACTTGCATTTCTCAGCATGTGTTTTAGGACACCAACAGCCTAAAGTCCAAGAAATGTGATGTATACTGTATGGATTTACGTCATTGGTGGGGAAGCGCAAGTGTTTGTTTTTCGAACTGCTACAGGGGAGACAGTCTAACGCGTGTGGACAAGCCATGGTGGAAAAGCTCTTGTGGTTGGGCTCATGAAGGAACAAACGCGCGACGATTCAGCCCAAAGCCCCCTCAGGGCCCTTCGCCTCGGCTTGCCTCGGCTTGCCTCGGCTTTCCTCGGCTTTCCCCGGCTTTCCCGCCCGCGGGAGGCGCTGGCGACAGACCCCGAGTCGCAACAAAGCGGTGACGAACCCGCCCGGCCCGTCTGTCTCCCGGCAACCGCCCTCCGCCGCTTCCGCTTCCGCCGCCCCGCGCATCCCCGCGGCCCCTCGGCCCGGCGCAGGCGGCACCCGCCGCCAGGAGCCCGCGCCGAGCCGCGCAGGGGGAAGCGGGCGCGGGGCGAGGGCGGACGGTGACGCCGGAGCGAGGAGCCGCCTGAGGGGAGGCGGTGTGAGGGACCGGAGCCGGGGCCTCGTCGCTGGCCCGGCCCCTGTCTCCCCTCCGCCGCCGCCGCAGAGGGGCCTGTGTGGAAGCGGGGCGCCGGGGGGCAGTCGGAGCCGTGTGGCGGCCCCCGCCTGACGCCCGCGGGGAGCGGACGAGGGAAGGGCTGGGCCGGGAGGAGGCCGGGCGGCGGCCGGCTTTGCGTTAGGCCCGGGCAGGCAGCGGAGGAGCCCCTCGCACCCGGCCAGCGCTGAAACCCTTCTGCTGGTGGGTAGGTCGGGTGCGGGGGGGAAATAGGTGCTTAGCCCTAATAAGGGATTAAAAGATGCCTCATGAAGCTGCGCGTTGGCTCCGTGAACTGAGGGGCTGTTCCCGGTCCGGCCCTGCTGTCTGCCCGGCTGATGTGAGGGGTTAGGCTGGTGGGGCCGAGCTGCTGAGGAATGGAAGGGACGGAGGGCAGAAGCGGCACGGCCTCCTCGGTCATCGCAGACCGGAGCTTGGTGTTTTGGACTCTGTGCGCGGTGATCCTGCCGGTGCTGATCACCTTGTGGTGCAGCTTCCAGCGGTCCCGGCGGCAGGTGTTGATACGAGACATCTTCCGCAAGAGCAAGCATGACTGGCACTACACAGACCTCTTCGGCCAGCCCTCCTACTGCTGCGTCTGTGCTCAGCACATCCTTCAGGGTGCCTTCTGCAACTGCTGCGGGCTGCGTGTCAGCGAAGGATGCCTCAAGAAGGCTGACCAGCTTTTTCTCTGCAAGGAAATTATGATGAGGAGCGACGGTGGAGCCCACAGCTTTATGCCACACCACTGGATCAGGGGCAACGTCCCCCTCTGCAGCTGCTGTATGATATGCAAACAACAGTGCGGCACGCAGCCCAAGCTCTGCGACTACAGGTACTGCAAGGGACTTTGGCTTTGTAGGAGGAAGCACGGTGCCAGAGCAGTATTGTATTTGCCACAGGGTTATTGGAATGCATTACCCTGCAGGAGATCCTGCAGTAGTCAAATACGAAACTCTGTTAAAAAACCAACTTCACAGAACCTAAAATTAAAATGGATGCTTGTGGGTAATTTGAGTCATAGATTAGGAGTGTGGCATCGCATCCCATGTCCACTTGTTCTCTTAATTGCATTACTCCAGCATGATGTGCTAGCTACTGTATAATTATATATACAAGGCTCTTTGTGTCCAAGAGAGTTTATATTTTAGGGTATGACCTTAAGAAGGTTCTAACACACTTGGCGTTTGTACAATACATAGCTTGAGCAATTTGGGTGGCACAGCTCACAATTCAGAGCAGCGCAGTGTGTATGCATCTCTGAAAAATTGGCATCTGCTCAGTGTAACTGGGGCAAACGACCGTCCTGTAGCTGATTCAAGTTCGTTTTTAAGGGTATTCAAAAAATTCTGATGCAAAGTTTTAAGCTACTGTAATCTAATCTATTGTTAGTGTTGGTCGTAAGAGTGTTAAAAATTTTTAAGGAGCCATTGAATCAGCTTGTTCTGTCATCAGTAAGGCTGCTTGCAAAGTTGTCAGCATGACACGTAGTGGCATGTCATGCTGAAATACAGTGCTAGTGGTCTGGGTGCTGGGTACAGTGTAAGTGTTACTTCAGCCTTCTCAAAGGATGTCATCTTTCCAGCATACATTCTGACAGCTTTTGCTTTGCTTCTGTGTGATATTGTCAAATTGCTTGGTAAATAAGCAGAATTACAGTGTAAATGAGCACACCATCAGAAACAAAACCTTGTGAGAGAGTGTCCGTAGGAGAGGAGGGAAGGAGAGGATTTTGGAAGGAAGGAAGGAAGGAAGAAAACAAAGTCACAGTACAGGGCAAGTGTCATTGTTACTCTAGTTGTGTGCTGGATTAGTCAGAAGGACTCCAAAAATATCTTTGACAGCTGCTTAAACCAAGGCTTTGGATGCAGCAAATGAGGATTAACATTCTGCAGAACCTGGCAGTGGATACTGCAGTATTTCCTCTTGTTCTAGTCCATTTTCCAGGGCAGCTTTTAGAATAGGTCAAAAAGCTGAGCAGTTTTGCATAACAAAATCCCATCAGCCTTTTACAGCATTGTGTAACCTTTCCAGTTTCAGATTTAAAGGGATATTATCAATCTTATGGAATTTATTAATTAATGTTACTAGTAACACTTCATTAAATTGAATTCTAGTGTTTTATCTGTGCTCTTTAAGGAGGAACAGGAGTTCAGTTTCTCATGCAAGCTTTTAGTACTGTTAATATTGCAGATCATGCAAGAGGATATTTAGCACCTGTTTTTTGATTTAAAGAGTAGAATTAATTTAAAACTGTTGGGTTTTTTCCCCACAGAATTCAAATGCTTTGCTAGACTTGCAAGCACATGACCAAGTAATGTAATTTTCTGTACCCAATACATAGTCATGTGAGCTTGCAGGGAATGCTTGGTTTTCTCTGGAAGGTGCTTAAATTATTACTTATAATGTTGCATGTAAACATAACTACTTTTCAGAAAGTTAGTCTGTCTAAAATAAATGAGCAAAATTGATGTGCCTGTTGTTTGAGGATTTTTTTCACGTTTTTTGGTCTTTTTTCCAGATGTGTGTGGTGTCAGCACACTGTACATGATGAATGCATGATGGATTGTTTAAAGACTGACGAGTGTACATTTGGAGAATTCAGAGACTTAATTATTCCACCATATTATTTGTCTACAATCAACCAAATGCGTAAAGACAAAAGAACAAATTACGAAAAGGTAATTGTCTGCTACTTTTGGGTTTTATAATGTATTTTAAAAAAAAAAAATTCCACACATTAAAACTTGAATTCAGTACATTGTCAGGTTAATAACTATCAATCAGGTGTGTGTTTCAATATATATGAAGTACTTGCAGTGTTAGTTTGTTATTTTATTAACATGGTAGTTGAAGCATGAACATACATTTGGATTTTGTTATTCCAAAACCACACTGAATTTGGGTACCTTACTTCTTTGAATGTTTTGTGTTTTTTCTACTACTATGTTCATAACTCTGTAGTGTTTGTTGTCCTAGGCACTGTAGAACAGAAATCTTCAGCCTTGGTGTGTCAGAAGTATTTGTTTTGACTACTTCAGACTAATTGGTAGCTCCCTCATTTCAACACTGAGAGGGGACAGGTTTTGGAGCAAGGCTTTGAACACTTTAAAATGTGCAGCACTTGTGCAACTGACTGACTTTCACCTCTTTGCAGGTAGTACCTTACAGCAGAAAACACTGGATGCCAGTAATCATACTGGCTAATACTCGTAGTGGAAACAACATGGGTGAAACTTTACTGGGAGAATTTAAAATTCTGCTGAATCCCGTTCAGGTATTTACAGTGAAAACCCGGTACAATAAAATAAAAGTTTAAATTAGAATAAGCATCTCTTTGCTTACACAATGGCAGTAGAATCTTGTGGAAGATCAATAAAGGAAACAAAATCATGCGGTTTGTTCTTTTAGAAAGAATAGCTTTACAGAGAGAGACCGAAAGTGCAAAGGCTCCTCCCCCCCACCAAGCTTGTTATGTTTCTAATAGTGGTCCAGGTTTTATTTACAGTAATCCATGCAGTAATTATGTTGATTGTAAGTATCTGGCTCTTGAAACAGTGTACAATTTTTAGGAGATGAAATATTTAGGAGGTCTTAGTTTGAGACCTGTATTTAAGTCCTCACTTTACTTGTGAAAATGTCAGTGTTTACAGTTGCCGCTTTCTGTTGTCGCTTTCCCCTTAAAATCCACTGGGATGGCACAGGATGCTGACGTAAGGCAGTTACTGTTCCTTGGGTTTCCTGGCTGCACCTTAACACTCTTCCTTTGAAGTTCAAAACCCTGCCTTAGAATACAGCCTAATAGAAATAACTATGTGTGTGTTTTAAATGCATCCCAATAAGAATAAACCCCTTTGTATGCTGAGTATTTAAAAATAGGCTTTATGTGAAGTCTTTAATCTTTACACAATACATCATAATGCCTCTAGATGCAGACTTTTCTTAGGACTCTGTCAGCTGGGTTTATCAACAGCATTTATTCCTAGTGAAGCAGCTGGAGCTCTGTTGAGAATTTGGGAAACCAAATCCTCATAAAAGTCAAGGCAGCTCATTTGCTAATGTAATATTGTAAATGGACAATCTTTGTTTTGCATTAGAATGAACTTCTTGAAGTTGTTTATCTGTGAGGCAAATCCTGAGTCATGTTCTGTGAACTTAAGGACTCCTGATTTTCCTTTCTTCTAGGTTTTTGATCTAAGCAAAATCACACCTGCTAAAGCCCTCCAGCTTTGTACCTTGCTGCCTTGCAACGCGGTCAGGGTTCTTGTCTGTGGTGGGGACGGCACAGTAGGCTGGGTCCTGGATGCAATTGATGAAATGAAGATAAAGGTATTGTGTTTTATATTAAAAGATGTCTTATGGTGAAATGAGTTTTGGGGCTGCTAAATTGCTACACATAATCTCTTACCTGCATTTAATGTTTTAATCTTCCAGAATAAGCCTACAGAGAAATATTTGCAGAATTGCATATTCATATTGGGGGGAGGGAATGCATCTTGTTATGAGTCCCTGTCATTCAGGCAAATTATGAAAGCTTTAGATTTTAAGTGGTATTTAAATTCATTCTTTTCTGTAAAACAAGAAAAGAACAAACTGCAGACTATTTTATATGTTGTTCTTTCCTCTTTGTCTAAACAGATTTATTTTGTCATAAATGGCATTGTTAATAATGGCTAATGTGCTCTGACCACTTACTTCTCCCAGCACGCTCAATCTTTAATAATATCCTCATAATTTTGCCAGCTGTGCTGGTTGCATTGCCAGTGCATGAATGAGTGCTGTAATTTGCTTCTGCTCCTTCTCATATATTCTAAATCATGCATCAGTCTACACAGTCTCACCTAGTAACAGAAGGAAAAAATAAGCTGTATGTTTACTGTTGATTTGAAACAGAAGATATTCCAATATACAGGGTACTATTAAGAACTCCTGAGGAAAATTAAGACTGAAGAATAATTACTAGAGCTTTAGGGCTTTACCTAATAATCTTTTTCTCTAGTGATAAAAGGAAGAAAGTTACTCTTCTTACATCAGTGTCTTTTTTTCTTACTCTTTTTTTTTTTTTTGTTGCAGCTTTCTTGTTAATACATGAAATGTTGTAGTTGAAGATCATTATTACAACTTCATGCATAGTCAAACTGAGCTGCTTTGAAAATTTTATGTACTGATAAAGTAGAAATGCAACGAAGTGTAACTGTGACAGGTTCATGAATATGAGTATATGGTTATTTGGTCTTGAACACTTGATATATTGTCCCTTACAGCCAATATAGTTGATAAAATCAGGGTTTTTCCTTGTTTCCAAGTATTCAAATTGAGCCATAGCAATTACTTAAATACTGTTATCAGCAAAACCTTTTTTATCAGCAGTAGGTTATTTGCTCCCTTCATTTATCGTGACTCTCAAATACAGGTTACCTGGCTGATAACTCTTCTTGAGAAAATAGTAACCATAATGCCACTTGTGGCAAGTACTTTTCAGAACTGAGTTTCCAAGGCCATAGTATATCTGAAATAACTGTTCACCCTTCTGGGGTAAAGACAGCAAAGACCTTTGCTAAGGTGCCCATTTTGAATGACTACTTCTGTCCCTTACTCTGTGGTCTGCAGAGGCGATTGTCATCAGCTCCATCTGTTGAGGACAGTTGTGTGTGTGTGTCTGTGTGTGTGTGTGGCATCTCTGAAACTTAGATACTGGCTTTCCTTCTTTGAGTGTGTGAATTTCTGTCTGTGGTTGAATACTCTAGTTTTATGTGCATCTGTTGTTTTAGACCTCACCTTAATTCAGTCTAGACCATTTTTGTGTCTTGTTACGGTTCTCAGCCTTATATGTTAGGTCTCTTTTCATGTTCGTATCGCTTCCCAGAGGTCCCTAAACTAACAGTAATTCACCACGGCTGCAGCATGGCAGCAGCATATAATCAGGAAATCAGATGAAAAGTTCAGGCTTCCACTTTTAAAACCAAAGCATCATTCTCTTGAAGGAATGCTCTGCTCAGTATTAATAAGGCATTGTTTCCATATTGGGCCTGTATTCTCTTTTCTTCTCACAATGGTTTAATGTTTCCTTTCTTTGCATTATCCCTATGATAAGTACTCAAATGTGCCATCTGTTATAGTAATGCTGCCAGCTCTGTTGCTCTGCACTATGTAACAAGCTGCAGATTAATGAAGATTAATGATATTTATCTAACCTGAGTGTTGAAGGAGAAAACGAGTCCTGAAGGAGCTAATATGCAGTGGTTTTGTATCCTAGGGGCAAGAACGATATATTCCACAAGTTGCAATTTTACCTCTGGGAACGGGTAATGACCTGTCTAACACACTGGGCTGGGGTGCAGGTTATGCTGGAGAGGTCCCTGTAGAACAAATCTTACGAAATGTCATGGAGGCAGATGGAATCAAATTAGACAGGTAAGTAACAGTCAAAAGATAAATTCTACAGAACCAAATACTGCTATAGCTCTACTGATAGCCAGTTGTAGTAGGGTCCCGGTTTACATATAAGCAGTACTTGTATGTATAGAAACAAGTATTGCTGGGGGGAATTGCAAAATAACTGAGGTCCAAAGTTAGTCTTTATTTTGTTGTTCTGCAGGGCTTTTTCATAAAGGGCCTTCTAGTGGCCTTCCAGTACCTAAAGGAGGCCTAAAGGAGAGACGGAGAAGGAACTCTTTATAAGGGAGTGTAGCGATAGGATGAGGGGTAATGGTTTTAAGCTGAAAGAAGGGAGATCTAGATTAGATAACAGTATGAAATTCTTTAGTTTGGAGATGGTGAGGCATTGGAACAGGTTGCCCAGGGAAGTTGTAGATGCCCCATCCCCGGAGGGGTTCAAGGCCAGGCTGGATGGGGCTTTGAGCAACCTGGTCTATTGGGAGGTGTCCCTGCCCATGGCAGGGGGCTTGGAATGAGATGGTCTTTAAGGTCCCTTCCAACCCCAACCATTCTATGATTCTATGATTTAACTAAATTTGGCTCTTTTTACTCAATCCCAGTATAGATATGAGATTCCTAACTCCTTTCCTAGCTTTGATGCTGAGAACAATCTTGGATGACTCTAAGTAATGGCTGTTGTTTTTCAGATGGAAGGTTCAAGTAACAAACAAAGGATACTACAACTTAAGGAAACCAAAGGTATGGGTTGCAAGTATAAATATGGATTCTGTGGAATACCTGTATGCTTATACTTATTTTTTTGGTTACCTACTTCCCATTAAACACTGTGACTTTTAAATTGTAATAATAATATTTAATAAAACCATAACTAGAAGTTCTGTCTTACAGGTATTCACAATGAACAACTACTTTTCTATAGGACCTGATGCTCTCATGGCTTTAAATTTTCATGCTCATCGTGAGAAGACTCCCTCTCTGTTTTCCAGCAGAATTATTAATAAGGTATGTTTGGTAAAGTGACATTTTCTCATCGTAGCTGTTGACTTAAGGCTATATTTTTGCTTTACATTGCTTTACTCCCCTACTTCATTTCATTCCGTTTTAGGAGATTGAACTCATTTTTCTTTGGGAGGGGATTCTGTAGGTAAAACATGTTTGCCGCCCACTTACAAGTGTTTTGCCTTGCCTCTGCTTATTTGCGTAGAAAATATGCTCTTTGTTCAATTTTTGTTTAGAATGTCTCCTTTGCTTTGAAACCTAAGAGGTAAGGACATTGCTTATGTCCTTTTAAAGTGGAAAGCAAGTTTATTAGGCAAGTTGTAGCCTATCTCATGGAGATAGCTTAGTTGAGGGATGTGCATATATGTTACGTATGAATTTTAGATAAGGTTTGCAGAACATTAACTATACGTGAATGTTTCAAATAGTCTTCATATGTATTGTCGTCTTCTAACAGTATTTTCTGTTCTCCCTGTTTTGTTTTGTTTTTTTTTATAGGCTGTTTATTTTTTTTATGGAACCAAAGACTGCTTAGTACAAGAATGTAAAGATCTTAACAAAAAAGTTGAGGTAAGTTTTTTAACTTGCTTATTCTTTGGACACTCAGTGGAGTGTAAAAACTTGAATGGCAGTAGAAAAGGGGAGAAGCTCTGCAGTTTACATCTATATGATATTTGTATAAGGACGTCTCTGGACTTAGAGTATTTCTGATGTTCCTTTTGCTATCTGCAACTTTCTTCATGGAATTCATGATGTCTTTGAGCTCACTGAAAATTCCTAAATTTTTTTCTAGCCTTGACTCAGTCCGGTGAGTTCATTCAGATAAAATTTGCCTTGGCACCAGGGACTTACTTAAATTAGAGTTCCTTTTTTCTTTTCTCCATTATCCAAAATTTATTACAGCTTAGGATATGTTGTGAAATCATAAGTAGAGGGGTTTTTTTTAAAGGATGAAAAGAAAGCACGTCCTATTTGTACAGGGCCAGTTTTTGTTCAAGTGGAAGCCTATTAAATGCATAAAGAGAATAACTAGCATATATTGAACTATTGAATTTGTTCCACAGTAATTAACTTCTGTGTGTCTTTTAAAGCTAGAGTTGGATGGTGAGAGAATCGAGTTGCCCAATTTGGAAGGCATCATTGTCCTGAATATTGGATACTGGGGAGGTGGCTGTAGGCTCTGGGAAGGAATGGGTGATGAACCTTACCCCTTGGCAAGGTACACAGTGCATCTTTTTCCTTTTTTTTCCTTTTAACAGTTCTTGTAGTGTAAGCAGTTCTCTCCAGTAGGCTGTGCTTATGTAGCCAGGCTTGTCTGAAGGTCAGAAGGTTTCCTTGTGACAGTATGCTATTCCAGATTTTTTATTTGTTTTCCTAACTGATGACTAAGTGCATCCCACACATCAAATTGGAGTTTTTTTAAGACCTCAAAATGTCTGACATGATTAAGCAATAGTGTTGAAGAGGCTATTAAAAATAAAGGTAGCCTTCAAAAAGTAGAAGATGCATCTACTCCATTATATAGAAGAACACATCTTAATAGAGGTTGAAAGATAAAGTAAAAACAAAGCAAGCCAAAAATTTGACTCCCATGCTTGAGTAAATTGGCCAGAGCAATACCAAAGAGGAGAATAGGTGGGTATATTAGTTGCTCCCTTTTGTGACTTCCTTCTTCAGAAGCCATATGTATAAATATACTTCATAGTTCAGTTACAAGGCTTATGATCCTGTATTTTTAAAAAATATTTAGGCAAGGTCCTTTACGAAAACCTTAAAAACTTAGCCATTAAAGGATGTTCCTGTAGATTAATAAATGAGTGAAAGACATGTATTTCTACAAATTTATGGAAGAGAAATTCACTATGGGCCTTAAATATGCACGGTGAGCCTTGGAAAGTCATATATCCCTAATTTCCAGAAGCTAGCTAGGGTGTACTACCTGCTGTATTGCTCCATACCTGCATTTTCATATGGCTTCCTTTGCTGTTCAGTGTGACTTGTCCAGCACAAATAGGTAGTGTAAACACATCTGTAGAATAACATCTGTCTTCTCTATAAGAGTAGCTATAAAAGGACTGTGTGGTATTTGGGCAGGTATTTTAGAGCTTGTGAGCATCATTAAAAAGAGTCTCCTTTCTTAATTCATAGACATGATGATGGACTTCTGGAAGTTGTTGGCGTTCATGGTTCTTTCCACTGTGCCCAGATTCAGGTGAAACTGGCAAATCCTGTTCGCCTGGGGCAGGCACATACAGTCAGGGTAAGTGGTGGTTATGAACCTGTTTCCTCTAATATTTTTTTTTAAAACACAGTCTAGAATTTCAAGCACTCAACTGCCTGATCTGAAGTTGCAGTTTACAGTTGAGCTAGATGTTTCTTCTTCTTAGTAAAAATTAATTATGTCATAATTCAAAGTTCTCTGTTGCTGTGTTTGGTGGCCTATGAGTGCAACTAAGAACATACTAAGTTTCTCCCTGCTCAGGCTGAAAACGTGCAGCATCAGTATATTGTAGTTGTAAGAGGTATCTGCAGAGCTGCTTTGAACTGCTGTGATTGTGTGTGTTCTTCTATTTAATGCCAGCTGATCTTGAAGAGTTCAAAGATGCCGATGCAGGTGGATGGAGAGCCGTGGGCTCAGGGGCCCTGCACTGTTACCATAACTCATAAGACACACGCACTGATGTTGTATCACTCGGGTGAACAAACGGATGACGACGCTTCCAGCACGTCTGAGCAGGACCACGTGAGAGACCAGACGGATGAAGACATGTAGATTTTGCAGAATTTAACGTAATACAGTGATGAACTTCAGCTCTTTAAACACCGAGAACACCTAATCTAGCTGTGAGGTTCATGCTTGTGAATGAACTAAAGCTGAGGAAAAAGCCATGCTTTTACGTTCATTAAAACTTTCACAGCTGAATTACCACAACTGTTTTGCCTTTTAGATTGGTGGTGATGCCTTTCTAGCTGGAGTTAGTTACTGTAATGGCAGGAAAGAGACAGATCCGGTGGCCCTTCCCTGTTGTGGAATCAGATCTTCTGCACGTGCACAGTACAGTATGCAAAATGTCTGATACCCTTGGAAAGAACAGCTGGGAGTTTGGCCTGTTTCCACCTGCCCACTTCCCCAGAACAGAAAACCAGACCAAGGAGGATGTGGGCTGGTTTTCTGACAGCAGCCTGCTCCTGGCTGCCATCTGTTCTTGGGAGCTGGTGCAATGCCTATCTAATAGGCTTGGCTGGCAGAGCAGAAGATCTGGGAGCTCTTGGGAAAGGTGGTTAGCAAGGAATATACTTTTGGACCAAAGGTTTCTGGAAATGTTCTGTTTGTGAATGACCTTTTTCAGTGGCTTTGTAAGTCATAGATAGAGTACTCCTGACGTCCCGAGTACCCAAGCTACAACTTCAAAATAATTGTACCATGACTTGCACTGAATGATGCTGTGACTGACTCTGCTTTGGTTCAGTGAGAGGCTAATTCTAGTTTTTGTAAATAACAACATCATAGTTTCTCAAGGAGGCTTTTTGGACGAAAACTTGGACAAAAGAGCTGTCTATTTAAGCTGTTTAGAGAAGGATTTTAAACAAATAATGATGACGGGCAAATGTCATCATTTGGTGGTGGTGGTTTAAAGTCTTGTTAAAACACTTGCTTCACAATTACCTGAAAATGATCAATAGTTAGTCTGTTAACTTTCAATTTTAAGCATGGAGGTTGAGAGCTAAGTTTGCAAAGGTTAGCAAGTTCTGGCGTTCATGTATAATTTGATGGTGAAAAAAAGCATGAAACTGTTTTCTGACTGGCTCTTAGGGAATCGGAGATACCTTGTTGGATCTTTATTTCCCATCTGAATATAGGGCGAGAAAAAAATTGGTGGTCTGTGCTGATTGTGAAGGGTAAGAACATATAGAGCAGTACATGGAAACTGTCAGTTTGGCATATCTGAAGCTTCTCAGGTTAAAAGCTTCTCAGGTGAAAACATCTTCATGGTTAACAGAAGTAAAAATCTGCTTCCTTATTTATTTTTTTTTTCTGTTATAGCAGGTGAGAGCTGTAAGATGAGATGTAAAGTTTGTCACAAAGTAATTCAGTTAAGTCCAGTTGAGTCACTGAAGGTGATCTTCTAAGTGGGAAAAGAATTTATGCTGAATGTGTACTGTGTAAGCCAAGATCATTAGAGAAGTTGAGAGCCTTGGTCTGAACTTTGTGTGTTGCTGCTTTTGTCAGAATTCCCCTGATTTATTTTTTTTCCCCTTTTTCTTTATGTTAACTGAAAGGGGTAGAGTAGGGTATGTTTCTAGGTTTTGTAAAATGAAACTTTTTCAACAGTCTATAAAATGTTGTTTGCATTGATGAATGAACTATTTATATTTTAAAATAATTTATTGAAACCTTGGTAAAGTCAGTATTTTTAAAACCTTCAATTGTAATCCTCTTTGGAGAGCATTTTTAACTTGATGGTATTCATTGTAGAAAGTGTATGTACTAGATCTTCGATACTACTGATTATCAGTGAATTTATAGCTGTCTGAAAATGTGATTAGAGTGTAATGAACTGTAAAGCAGAAGCCATTTGTAAATTCCATATTCATTAGCCTTATACCCCATGGCGGGGGGTTGGAACTAGATTATCTTTAGAGTCCCTTCCAGCCCAGACTATTCTATGATTATACACCTCATCTTAATTATTTTACTGTATGTAAATATAGAGAAGAAATTAATAGTTAAATCTATGTTAAAAGTGTTTAAAATGCGCAAAAGTATACTATGTTAGATAAATCCACTACCCTTTTTTCTCTTGGTTCTGAGGTTCAATTTGTATTAGCTTCAAAAATCTTACTAATTAAGTTATTAGTATTTTTAATAACTTACAACCATCAGCATCCTAAAAATAGTTAAGTTCTCTGCTATGGTTGTTACCTAACTGTTGTTTACAAACAAATGACAAGTCTCTGGAAAAGCAGGGTATGTGCTATGAAAGGCAGTATTTTCTCACGAGAAATGACACCACTGGCTACTTAATGTAAACTATAATACAGTTTAAAGAGTTACCTGAAGTTGATCAGATGATTATTCAAATTGTTTTATAGCTTAAGAACCTTTAACTGTTCAAAAACTTCACTCTTTGAACTCCTGACATCTAGAAAAAAAAGGAATCAATGCCAGGACTTTGAAAGTCTCCCTTTTTCACAGTAGGTACGTTGGCTTCTGCGCGTGGGCTTTGCCTGGGTAGGTGCCGGGGACGACACACCATGTACAGGCAAGATCTGGGGAGTCCAGTCCTGAATGTGTGAAATCCTCTTTGGGAAACATAAATCCATCATTCCGCTTGGAGAAACAAAGGAGTATTAGAAGTGAAAGCAGCATCGAATTGGGTGCTTGTTTCTGGAAAACCCCTGATAAATGGTCTTGTTTGTATTGGACAGATCACCCCCTTCTTGCATGTGGAAGTGGAGAAGTTTGTGTTTCACAAATTGACTGTTAGTGATTGCAGCAAATGATAGGTAGAGAACGTAGCCATTGTAAGCATGGGGAAGCCTCTTGTAAAGTTGTATTTATGGTATGGAGAACATTCTGTGTTATTTATGGTATGGAGAACATTCTGTAAGGTTGAAGTGTCCAGTTCCCAATCACACATGGGGTCATCATTCTATTGTAACGATATGTAGCTGTCATCTGCATGACAAAAAAGTTCTTTTTAAGCATACTGTTAGCACTAGAATGTATTGGGAAGCCTTGCTGTTTCCAACATGCTGTCCCTTTGATTTCAATGTATCCTCCTTTCCAGTATGTTGCAAATTGGATTAAAGCCAATGTTGGGTTTGGGGTTACGTTTATAAAACTGTTTTAAGTTTTAGTCTAACTGCAGACAGTAAATGTCAGCAATGGGCTCCCAAATTCTAGTGCTAGCACAAGTGGACTTTTCTAATTTGTAACATAGCTGTAGCTGCTTAATGCTGTAATGTGGCTGTTGTGACTGTAAAACTGCTACATCCTTTATTTAATGTTGTAGGTGCATAAAGCATCAGTACGAATTACCTACTCTGTAGCTCTCTGAGGATTGGAGATCTGAAAATACTGCAGTACATTCTCTGTCCAGAAGAGGGCACTCTGCAGCTAGCGCTCGTGTCCTGCACTGAGGAATTTTCCCTTCCCCTGTTAATGATTAACATTGGGAAGAGAGTGAAAGCGATGTTTCAAAAAGACAAGTAATGAATAGTTTCTTCTGGCAGTCTTCATACAGTATAGCTTGGTGTAAAATGTACAGGGTGAATAATATCAATTGTCAAGCACTGAAAAGTGAATTCACAGAGTTTATTCTTAATTGAGTTGCTGCGTGCATGAGTTTAACTGAAGTTTGGTCAGATTCCGGTAACTTTCTTTGCTGTAGGTTCTCAATCCTGGGACATGCAATACGAAAAACTTACCCTTGTATGGAGCCAGCTTCCTGCCTGGCTCAAACCTCACTTGTTTACAGGCACATTGAGAGGATGGGTATGTGTATTTTCATGTGCATAGAACTTCTTGTCGTAGGCTGTGTTTTGATTTGTGCTTTCACTTCAGCAATTCATAGCAGGGTTAAGCTGTTTCAAATACCATCTGCATTTTGGCTCTTTTTAAAAAGGCATCCAAAGTCCAAACTTGCATTCTTTGTCTTCAAAAACAGCTGAGGTGAATGGCATTCACTTAGGGGTTTGGTTTTTTTCCTAAGAATGTCTATTGTTCTTGGTGTTAGGGTAGTATTTAGAGCATACTTTTAACAGCACTTTGGAATTTGGAATTACTGCAGTTATTAGAAACCACAAGACTCTATTCTTTTTCTACTGCAATAGTGATATTTCTATTTCAAATTAATTTGGAATTCTGTTCAAATTAGAATGTTTTTCTCAGCACTGTTATGAATTGCATTTCATGTTCATAATGTAAAGACTGCATAGCATAATTCATGCATTTGATAGTCTTTTTATATGTTCACTTTCGATGTTGCCCCTTCATAGGGGTTTTTTTCCCAGGTGTTGCTTTTCTTAGACACTAACTAACTTGGAACACCATTTACCTTAGTTGGAAGCTTTAAGTACTTGCTCTCAGAAAACAAACTTGGGTTTTTCCTGGTTGCAAAAGAAAATGCTGCCGTGTTTGAACACACTTAGAGAAAATGGTCTTGTTGAGGCAATGCTTATAGCAAGAGTAAGTTAAATGTTTCTTCTCTATAACTTCAGCTGATTCAGGTTGAGAATTTATTCCGCCATACGTTTTTTGTCTTGCTAATGTTTACAACTACTCAGTCAATACTTTCCTTCAGTCATTCAATTACTCACTTTATCCTGGCTCACTTTCAGCCAAAAATGTCATTTGGGACAGTATCCAAAGCTCTGCTGAAATGAGGGTAGTGAGCTTCTCTTCTGTCCACTTTATCCTTTGTGCCAGCTACCTTGTCAGAAAACAAAATTGGAATGACTTCACATAGCTTATTCTTAGCTCAGTAACTCACCTGTTTGGCTTTTCCAGTCACCATCACCACACCTGGAAGACATTAGAAAGGACTCCAAAGGCTCCCAGTCCCTCTGTCCTATTTTGAAAGTACAATTTTTGCTCTTTGCTGCTGTGGAGGAACCTGTTCTCCACAGGTGCTGAGAATTGATAGTTAAAGGTTCTGGTTTCAGTTTGGCCAGTTCCTTCTGGTTCTGCACTACGTTGCACTGAAGCTCACAGCTTTTATTGTGTATGCTATTGTATCTCACTGGTTAAAAACAACTGTAAAGCACTGTACCTTAGCTGTGAACAGCATAATGGTATCAATGTTACAGGAATTACTCTTTTTCACTTGGCAACAAAAGCTTTTTGGTAGAGCACCACTGTAACCTATTTAGTCTATGGGTAAGAGTAGGACACTTAAGAATCTTTGCATGTGTTCTAACTGAAAATCCTTTTTTTGTTCTGTATTTCATACTGATTACTAGCAGTTCCTTTTAGAAAAGAAAAAAGATTTGACCCTTCAGTTAGGAGGAAACTAGGATATCTTGAGATTTAAAAATACTAGTGCATAACTGATCCTGCTGAATGTGAACCACTTATTTAAAAATGCTCTGACTTTTTTTTTCTGAGAGATTATAGCTGCTTCTTGAACACAGGAATGAGACAACAGAGACCACTTGTTCATTTAGCAATTAAGTCTACTGAGAGAATTTACACGTTCTCTATTTCATCCTCATTTAGGCCACAGTTCTAACAGCACGGCATGATCAAAATTTCTTTATCTCACTAAGAGTGCTGAATACCCAGTTCAGGTTTTGGGCATCTCAGGGAGAGAACTTCAAGCTGGAGTAAAGCCACATGCCTTGACTAAACCTAGTGATGTTGTGCAGACTTACATTAGCTGAGGATCCGGCCCTTAACTGTTCAAAAGTATGAATGTATTCAAAATGTTACTTTGTTTCTTGTTGATACTGCCCTGTTTACTGTGCTTTATACCCTTGTTGCTGTATGTAATTCATTTTTTGCATTGTTTCATTTGCAACTTGTTTGTGGACTTCAGCCTAAAAATAATTCTCTTTTTAAGAGTAAGTGGGAACTTACATTGTGAGTTTATGGCATTCTGTATCGTTAAAGTTTACATCACTCAAAAGCCATTTTGTCTGCTACCAACTGTTGTAATCCTTAGAGTACCTCCAGCCGTCTTCTCTTTCTAGGATTTTTATAGTTAAACAGAACGGATTTTTATTTTTGTAGCTTGTAACTTCAATATGTAAAGTAGTTATTTCTATGTAGTAATTGGTGATCAGAATACTGTAAAAATGTTACTTTTAAGACCTGTAACTTTAAGTTAGTAATAACTACTTAGAAGAAAATACCAGCATGTTAAAAGCTTAAAAAAATGTATTCTTTAGCTTGGAAATACTGTAATGCCCTGAGTTGGGATCTGCATTGAATGTGTTTATGCATATATTCTGAAGTTGCACTAAATAGGGAAAAAATGAGCTTGAAATGCAAGTAATAGATCAAAAAGTAGAATATATAACATCTTAGGCTTTTTTCAAGGTAGAAAGGTGACATTTGGGATTCAGTATTTTTTTGTTTTTCCCACAGAACAGTAAGGAAGGAGTGATCACTGTACTCTTGACAGAACAGTTGTTTCCTTATGGTGCAGTTTGATATATATATATATTATCTAGTGCCCAAACAAAAGCAAAAGCTGTTTGCACCGTTCCCGCCTCTTCTCAGAGAGCAAAACCTCAGAGCAAACCTGCCTGCTCCCAGCTGTAAGTATGAGAGACCTTACTTGTAAGGAAATAACCAGCCAATGTAATATCAAACCTCCAATATAAATGTTTAAAGTCAACATTTGTTTATTTCTTCTTGACATCAAGCGATGCTTTCAAATCCCAAATGGTTTTTGCTTTGTTTTTTAAAAGGCAGCAGGCTGAAATGAGAGATTAAGGAGGTATCACTGTAAAACTCAGTCACAAAATCTGGGAAGTGTGTTCTTTATTTGCTGCGTAGGCCCAGGGCGTGTGGTTGTGGGACATCTCATAAAAGTCTCTGTGGTGTTTGCACCCTCACTGGCTTCGTTCAGTGTTTCTGAATCGGGTGATAATGCCATTGCCCCTGTAATTGTGACGTTTGCTCAGATCATTACATGTGGGTGATGGGTATTATTTGAGTACTTGGGCCAGGTTCTATGTAAGAACCTGCAACTGCAGTGCAGTCACAGAACTCTGTGGGTTCTGTGGTGGTACTCCATGCCAACACCAGTGCAACTGAAGAGAGCTTTTGTCTTCAGACAGTTGTATCATGGCCCAGATCTTGTGACTTAAGCTCCCGGAAAGTTCTTTTGAGAAACAATCTGCTCCATATTCTTCATAGAAGTTTGTAAATACAGAATTTTCACAGCACTGACTCTGTTACTGCATTTCCTAATGCATCTTTTTGTTGTCTTGTTATTTGTACTGTATTTCTCTGTAGACTAAAGTGTGTGGATTAAAGTATTTAAACTCGGTTGTTGCTGTTCCTCACTACGTGTAAAAGCAAATGTGAGTTTTCAACTCTGTAACAACCTGGTGATGATGGTAACTGCCTGGCTCTTAGAGGGCTGCAGTGTGAGATGCTGGATCATTTTGAGACCAGAGTTGTACTTTGTTGAACACTGCAGCTGTGCTTCAGCCCCAGGTCCCTGCCGCAAAGTCCAAGTGTTTCAAACCTCAGATACACAGAAAAATTTCTAGACAACAGCCTAATGTCAATTAGAGGTAAAGCTAATGCTGTTTGGTAACCTACAAAGATGTCTCAGCAGCTGCTTGCCCCCTTCTGGTTCTTCCTCCTTCGTGCTGTATTCAGATCTGGGGAAAAGCCAAGTTTGTAGGGCTTTATAATAGATGTGTTTAAAATGGTTTAAAACCCCCAGGTTTCAATAGCGAGATGAAATGTCTAGATTGTTCCTTCTCACCAATGTTGGCAGTGATGTGGGACCTTAAAACAGGTTATGATGCACACAAAGGGAGGGAAATAGGCCTACAAATTCCTCATCTGTAAAGAGTAATTTCTAAATAGGAGTTTTAAGGGGAGATGTTTTGGTGTTACGTGGCTGCCGAGCACGAGTCAGTGAAAAGCACCCGGGGCTTCCCACAGAAAGGGGAAAGGCTGCTGCTGGATCAGAGATCAAGTGGCTCAATGCCTTCTCCTGATGGCAGCAGATGGGTGACTTGGGGCTTTTGGAAGTGTGTAACTCCTCCTGTGGGGCCACTTTATCATAGTGTCAGTTCCCTCCCCAAGTTCTCTCCTCTGTTGCCCCATCTCATTTGCACAAAAGAGAGAACTGCCTCTGGCAGTTCCTATATTGTGCCACAATCAAACCTTTTAAAGACTATTTGTGTGTTGTTTTCCATTCAAGATGGGGTCAGAGCACAGATACTCGGCAGTTTTTCTTAGATGGTAAGACAATAGTTTCACAGAGCTTTGAGGATCACTGGCACTAATGTTAATACAAGATCTAGGTTTAATGCATTTTTCAATGTTTTTAGAACTGTTGGAGTGAACCGTGCACGGCACCAGCTTGAGCCAGATTTTAGCCTGAGGTTGTGTAAGAAGTCACATGCCAGGTATGTGTGGGGAAGAACGTGGGATCTTAGAGAAGTGGAAGTCAGGATGGAAACTCTATTTCTGTCTTTTGATAATAAAAGTAGATGTAAAACATTTGGCGACTGAAAAGTAAAGAGGTTGTTCGGGGGTCCAAGTAAGATTCAGGGAGTCCAACGTTAGACACTTGAGGGCTGAAACTCCGATTTCAGGATGTCTCCTGTAGCAAGTATATTTTCCTCTTAAGGAAAAGCCCTAATTGGGGAAATGGAACAGGCAAACTCTGCTTCTCTTTCCGTGTGTGTCTGTGGGCACTGTGGGACCAGGCTGCTAACCGCATGGTAACAGATGGCCGGAGAGTCCTGGTGACCGCGGGGGCTGCCGTGCCGGGGGGGGAACAATGCCCTGCGGGTCCAGCATGTGCCACCCAGCAGCGCCCAGGGCCATTGTCCCCAGCCCGCTGAGAAATCCCGATTCCACGCTTACGAGCTCCAGAAAAGAGCCTGGCTCTCTCAGACCCGCCAAAGAGCAGCTCCCCGTGTTGTTCATTGAAAATATGGAAAGGGCAATGCATATCGAAATGTAATTATTGGCAGGCACAGCCCGGCTTTTAGCATGAGAATCGGGGGCCGTTGTGCTTTCTACTGCACGGACTCATGAAAGCAAAAGTTAAAACTATTGAGTTTCCATCAATCATTCCATGTTTGCTTTGATGACGTTGACGCGATTTTTGTTTGTTCCCAAAACTGCGGTGAGAAACTGTTATCAATCACTTTTAAAATATTTGTAAAGGCCGCGGGGGGCTGCCCTGGCGGGAAGAAAACCGGGATGCGGTGGGGGAGCATCCCCGTTGAACCCCCGTCCCGTCCGTCCCTCCCCCGCCTCTTCGGGGGTCTGTGTCTCCCTGTGCCGCCGCCGGGGACCCCGCCCGCCCGGTCGGTGCTCGCAGAGCGACCCGGGGGCGGGGGGACGGCGGGGTCCCGGCACCCCCCGCCTCCCTCCCTCCCTCCCGCCCGCCCTTATAGCCCGGCCCGGCGGCGGCTCGGGGCTCTGGGCGGGCCGGGCATGGCGGCGGCGCGGGGCTGGCCCTGGCCCTGGCCCTGCCTCCGGGCCCTGCTGCGGCTGCTGCTGCTGGCGAGCGGCGGGCAACGACCGGGCGCCGCCGATCACTGCAGCTGGAGGGGCAGGTAGGCGGGGAACGGCCCGGGAGGGGGGCTTAAATCAACCGGGAGGGGGCCCGGCGGGCACCGGGTCGGTGGCGTCTCGCCCGTCGGGGAGGGAGAGGGAGCGGCCGGTGACGACGAAGGAGGGTGGCAGCTCGGCTTTGCCCGGGGGTTTTTCTTTTGTGACTTGCACAGGAAAATACCTAACGAAGCTTTCTCAAAAACTTTTATCTCTTTTCGCTGAATTTTCTTGACATTTGCTGTGACTAATTCTGCTATTACGGGTTTGATTTTCATAAATAGCATAAGTAAAAGTAACTTTTCTGAAAGCAATGAAATTGTTCTGGCTTGAGGAAGAGCTTAGAAGCAGGGTCAGCACAGCCTGCTTTGATTAGAAAGCTTTTCATTGTGAGATCTTACAAGAAGCATTCAAAATAACTTTAGATTAGGCTTTTAACCCCATTTTTTCAGATGTAACCTCAGTACTCCTTGTGCAGCTCCAGCTGGGAGTCAGCAGCTCTCGCCCTTACCCACCTGCAGGTGGGATTTTCCAGAGAGCTGAGCGTTGGCCAGTCCTATCGCATGGAAAGTTCTTGTTACTATTCAGTGGAGAGAAATTGCCCTCTGCCATTTCCCCAGATGCTGTGGGCATCCAAGCAAGGATTTGTGGGTGGGCAAAAGGGGATAAGGCTCCTTTCCATGCACCCCAGTGCAGCTCCAGGTGTGAGCAATCCTTCTCCCTTCCCCCAGCACCACAGCTGTGGTTGGAGGGGAAGGAGCCCAGCTGGAGGAAATTAAGAGTCATTAGGAGAGAACTTGAGTTGGGCACAGGACCTGTGTCTCTAGGTGCCTAGTGTGGCAGTGTCTGCTGGGCTCTTCTGTCTCTGTCATGGGTATCACCAGTAATGGACTGATGGTATTGTCTTGGCAGTGGTTTGAGCTGGGAGCCCCGTTCCCGTGCCGTGGAACAGGTCCATCTGCGCTGCACCGAGGGCTCCCTGGAGTGGATGTACCCAGCACGAGCCCTGCGTGTCGTCCTGGAGCCCAACCTCTCCAGTGCCCGGCACACCACTGTCTGCATCAAGCCTGCCAGTGACTTCCAGGGTGCCAGCATCTACGTGGAGCGTGCTGGGCAGCTGCACCTGGTGGTAAGCGAGGCAGAAGGGGCTCGACCCCACCATGTGTCTTGCTTCAGTGCCCACACACCGCAACGAGTGGCCCTCTTCCTGCAGGCCAGCCCGCAGAGGGACATCAGCCGCCGGACGGCCAGCTTCCAGTATGAACTGCTGAGCAACCAGAGTGCTGCTGGCCCCGACTTCAAAAAGATGGCCCTGGTGGAAGGTAAGAGCAGGGCCAGCCTCGGGGCTCTGCTGTTGGGGCAGATCCAAGGTGGCATCTGATTTGTGACCCTGCATCTCAAGTGACAGAAGCTGTTTTGGGCTTTGGGGTTTGTCATGGCAAGGGAGGTCCTTCTGCCAGGTCGCTGACTCTTTGGCTGGTGCACAATGTTTTCAGATTTCCACTGTGAGGGGCATCCTGTAGGCACGGGAGGGAACACTGCAATATAAGGAGAAACTCTGTCTCTCCATTAGCAGCCAGTTCGGTCCTGGATGTATGCACTGTGCCCCATTTCCTCTCGTAATTCACCAGTTCTTTAGCAATGATATGTAATATAGTATTATATGTAATGAACTATTCTTTTTTCTTCTAGCAATGTGCCGTCCTTGTGACAACGTGGAACTTCTTATGGCCATTTGCAGCAGTGATTTTGGTAAGCTGACTAAAAAGTCATTCATCCTTTAATTATATGTTGATTATTTGGATTTATTTACTACTTCTCTTAAAGCAGCATGACTCTGCTCTCTGATCTGAGAAGGAAACTAGCTGTGTGAAAAAGAATTTGAATGGGGACAGGAGAAGCTTCACTGTTCTCATTTCTTCTGGGCAGAAAGGTTACAATTTAACACTGAACTGAAAGTAATTCTCACAAGTGTGCTGCTGGCTCTCACACGTAGCAAAGTCATATCTGTGTAGACACAGGTTATACATAATCAATATGTTCCTTTTTATCCCTTCATGTGTGGTTTGGGGTGTGTGTGTTTGTTTTTCCCTGTGATAAATGTGCCCTCTCTCTTCCTGCACAACTTGCACACTTCTAGTTCTTTTTCTACAGCCGTGAGTTGTTTGTAGCTGAGCTAAGGATTTCAGGTGCTTTAAACTTCCTTTAGTGATGTACTGGTTCTGTTTCATGCCTTATGAGAAAACAAAGTGGTTAATATTCCCTAAGATAAGAAATAATAAGCACTGATTTGATGGTACATGAAAATATTTTCCCATTTTCTCTACTTAACAATCCAATATAAACTTTCTTTTTCTCTCAGTTCTCTCTATTCATTTTATTCCCATGAAAATCTGTACCTCTTTGATTATGTCCAATAGCTAAAGCTGTTGAGCTGCTTCTCCATGTGGCCACAATTATATTGCTGTAAATATACCTATGTAAAGAGATAAACCCATGAACTATATTTATCCCTAATCAGTGTTTAAAACAAAACCCCAAAATACTGCTTTCCTACTGGGCTTGCCGCACTTCAGGGTTACTCATAAAATCACACACCGACATCACTGTGCTGATACAAGAAGTAGAGCATGTGGCCCGTAGACTGCTCCTGAGCTGGTAATTTTTCTTCTTCTAAATTAACTGATGGAACCCAGCCCATTGTTTCTCCTTGATGAAGTTATCAGTTCCCATGCGAGGCGCTCCTGCCGCACTGCCTGAAAGAGCAGAGACTGACAGATGTGGGGCCCTGCACACAATGGGGCACTTACACTCCCAGCAGCAGCCGACCAGAAGAAATAGCCCTTTGAACTGACTCTATTTATGGCCTGACTTCCTTGCCCTAAGCTCACAAATCGCTATCATCAACTTTTTTGATTAGAGAAAATAGCTGCTAATGAAAGTGTAAATGACCCTGGGAGTGAATAGGGGTTTTATGGTTATTCTGAAGCTGGAGGTCTGCAGTCACTGGGCCTGAGCAGCGCAGGAGCAGCTTGGAGCACCAGGAAGCAGTGCATTATAGCTTGTCAATGGACTTGACTGCATCTGATTAAAAATGATCACACAAAGAGGGAGATGGAGAGCAGAGACATCTGTTACGCAAAATACTGGATTCCCCTGGAAATGGAATTAGATGAGTTCCAGTTCTCAGAAACTTCAGAAACAAACTTTTTCTGCCTCTTGGGTTGTTGAGTTCTCTGTACCTGAACGAAAGTGTTTTGTGGCAGAAGCATGGTGATGTTCCTGTTGCATTGGTAACCTCTCCTTTGCTCAGAGCTCTTGGCTCAAATGGTGGCATGTTTCTTTCTGAGCCTTCTCTGCATATGGGACTGAAATTTACTTAGTTAATCAAATAAAACTTGATTGCTGTGAAAGATGGGGGTCAGTAAGAATGAGAAAGACGGCTTCAGGAGAGCAAACACAGTCGGATGGGATGTTTCATTCCCTGTACAGTTGATGCTTTCAGTCAAAAAGTCTGTAGCTTTTTATGCTTTCATTTCCAGAAAACATCTAGGATCATTTTGGGAAAGGAGGTACATGTATGCTATGTGATTTTAAATAAGGCTTCAGATAAAGCCACTTTAAAGTTCTACATGTTGTTGATCAACTCCCAATGTGCCTTTGAATGGATGAATGCCATTTTCTTTTCAGGGAGAAAATCCCAAACCTTTAAATTAAAAACATTTAACGAGCTCTTATTTTTCCCAAACAAATAATATTCTAGTTCTTCTTGGATCAACCTCTGTTACTGCTGTCAAATCAAAAACTTCAGAGTCCCCTGGAGACAGGAAGGAGGTAGTCTGTGACAGTCATTGTCTTGGAACAGAGACTGAAAAAAAGTGAATCCCTGAGCTGACCTCTTTTTCACCTGCTTTTTTATCATTCACTGCTACTTTGTGTTATTGAGCAAGTTACATGCTTTTTCCTCAGGTGTAGCTGATTTGAATAGTCATGAGGTGTGCTTCCAAGCACTGTTTGTGCGGGGATCCTCTGTGTGCAGGATGCAGTGTCAGCTCAGGCGTGTGCCCATCAGTAGGCGATGGGAGTGCAAACTGCACAACAAATCTGTTTCTCCAGTTATTTCATTCAGTGAGCTCCTAATACCTGACTTGCCTGCTGCTCCATAACCACCTCCTGTCTTCTTCACATCTAGTGGTGAAAGGATCTATCCGAAATGTTTCCCACGATTCAGAGAACCACATGTCACAGGTTGAAGTCAGCATCCAGAAAGTCTACAGACAGAAAAACAGAATTTTCCAGCAGGATGAAGCGAGTGGTGAATGGCGAGGCCCTGTCCGAACCCTGCTACAGTGCAAGGTGAAGAAGGGAGGTGGAGTTTTCCTTTTCACTGGAAATGAACATTTTGGCGAAGCTTGGTTGGGCTGTGCTCCTCGGTTTAAAGATTTCATGTTTGTTTACCGGGCTGCCAGAGAAAGAGGGGCGAACCCATGTGAGTTTCAGCTCGACTGACAAGAGTGATGCTGGAGCTGAGAGTTTAAAAATTTTAGCCCAGTCTTTTGACTGTTAAAATCAAGGACTAAAGCCAACAATTTCACCAAAACTGGGACCTGGAGAATTTCCTGAAGATAATGGCTCTGTGAGCCTGGTGGACTCTGCCTTTTAATCCACATTTGCATTAATTGCATTAGTTTCTCCTCTTCACATCTTCTTTGCCTCACAAAATAACTCTGAATTTTGAAATGTTGTCTTTTTTGTGGTTAGAAAGCAGCTTGTGCTCAGTATTACAAAATTCTCTCTAACATCTTCTCTGTGGACATACTGTGTGCTTTTTCTCTAGATTTTTTCTCTCCTCCCCCATTTCTACTTGATTTCCCTTCCGAATGACTTCTTTTTTTGTTTTTAACAAGATAATTTCTGTCCATCTCACCACTTCGTCGCTCCCAGGTGTTTCTAAGATGAATGCTAACTCTGATCTTAGCCATAGTTACTAAACCTTCAGGCTAATCGGCAGCTTTGCCAGGTTTTTTTTCCTTCTGTTTGTTAGCAGAGAGATTAACTAACCCTCTGAGGCAAAATCACAGCTGATGTAGTTCTGCAGCACTCTGTTGACAGTGTCTGATTTTGCTCCCCGTGGAAACAGGTCAATGAGGGATACTGCACTTTAGCTAATGTGAACACTAACACTGTGTCCTATTGGAGGAGAAAAGGTGTTTGGGAAATGCCTTGAAATAATCAGAAGGTTTGGTTGTAGCATTGCCTGCATGAGAATGTAATGTTTAGTATTCATGGGACTGGGCCCACGATTAGCTCTCATTAGTGTGTGGTGCACAACAGAACAGACCCAAGCAAACTGGCCTTTGTAAAGTATTGGAGGATGTACAGGGGTATCCGAGTACTTGGGTTTTGAGAGCTGGAGATCAGTGCTGCATTTGAGATTTTAAATGGAGTACTCTTCTTTGGTTGGTATTTGCACTGTAAATAGGAGATAAAGTATGTTTTTTAGTATTGATTGGAGGTACTGTGTTTCTTCTTGTTTTGTATATTTGTATATGTCAAACCTGTGTGGGTTTCTGCCTTTAAAAGGGGCCTTAGCCAATTCTTCTAACATTAATGTCGTAATTAATATTTGCTTTCATAGACCATCATCCCTTTGAAATAATGTGTTCTTTTTAAAGCAAGTAAGTAGTTTGGTGAATGAGCGGTTGAAAAACTAAAATAACCCAGTGTGAAGTGAAACAACATACTTAAAAACGCATGTGATCTGGTGATTTAATCTGCAGCTCTGTGGACTTGTCGGCCTTGTAGTGAGCAACCTAAAATTCTTGCAATCAGTGAGAATAATGAAGAGCTTGTTTGAGATTGTGCTTGCTGTATATATCAATTCTGTTTGACTGTAATCTCCCTAGGTGGCATAAAGTTAACTATCTTGATACCAGTAACTAGTAGAGGTACCTGCATGTTTCCAAGTGGTGGGGTAAAAAGCTTTTTTGGAGAAAATCTTTTTGTTTTCATTTGTTTCAGATTTTAAACAAGTATTCTGGGGAAAACATGTAATGCTAGATTTCCCACACTAAAAAAAAAAGTTCTGCTGGGCCAAAGTCAGTTGTGCTATTGCTGTTTACATTAGGTTCAAATTTCTTCCAACATCAGGACTGAGGATGTTTAGATACAGACGTGAGTAACAGTGGGGCAAAGCAGCTAGTATTTCTGTTGAGGTAAGATGGAAAATTTGAATCAGTGGAAGAGCAGTAAAGTAGTTGAAGAGTAACATAAGATAAGGTCATTCACTCTTTAATTTCGGTGACTTCATTAATGTCACAAGGTGGACAGCCATTATCACAGCAAGGAACTGTGGTTAGGTCAGGGCATTTTAATTTTGTCTTCCAGTGTTTTAAGCTCTGTCAGCTTAGAGTGATACTGTGGTTTTCCAAGTACTTAGTTTCGAGGGCAGCGAGCAATGTTCCCTTCCCTGGTGCCTTACCTCACATAGTTTGTAACTGAACAATAGCGTCCTTTCTCTAGCCACAGTAGAATAAAAACTGAAGAAAAATACTCTCCCTTGCACTGGCTGGGTTAGCTTGCTTATGTATAACAGCAGCCAACAGTTGCATTTCTGTGCTCACTCTGGTCTTCTCAGACAACAAGAGGTTGAACAGAGACAAAACATATTATGCAAGCAGCTTGTAATGCCCACTGCTTCATCATGTATGTCATCGAATGTATCTGGGGTTCACCCAGGCTGCTTTACTTGCCCCCCTTGCAAACAGCCAGAGACCAATTTTATCAAAGGCATGAAGCATTCAAACTAGCAAAAAACCAGCCAATTTATAAGAGATAGGAAGGTGGGCTGGCAGTAAGAGAGGTGAAGAACAGCAACAAGGTGTTGTCATGGTGTTGCCACATATGGCACAACTCCCCCCTCTTCATTCAACTGTTTCTCAAAAACTCTGTGGATTTTCCTCCTTTTCAGATCAATAAATAGGGCCAGGTGGCCTTACAAAAGTACAGTGATTCACGTGTTCAGGGAAAAGGTACCTAAGAACAAAGCACAGATGCTAAAAGCGTCTTCATGATCATCTTCGTAGGTTTTTTCAGTCTTTGGGATCTATTTCTCCAACTCTGCATATAAGAGAATTGGGTCAGAAGGAGTTAGATAGATACTATTGCTGTTTTACTCCTGGGCTCGGTGGAATTTGGATGCCAGCTCTCATTAGTGCCCACTTTAAGATTTGAGCTACACCTAGTATGGGGAAGGGGGGGGGCAAGTTACAGTCAGAACACATTTGTGAGCAACTGAAGCAAGGTGATCTTCCTTCTTTTCTGTGGTTAAATTTAACCCAATGAATTATCTTTACTGAGGAGAGCATGTTGAACAGTTTCCCCTTCAGCAATGTAAACTGAAGTCTTTCAGCCTCTTCCAGGAAGGAAGTGAAGCCTTGTCCATAATTCTTCTGATCTGTAACGTTTCATAAAGCATCATTATGCACTTAATCTATTCGTTCTTTGCTGGACTTGTGCTTGATGTGTAGATAGAGAATCAAAAGAGGAACAGGACGTTTCCCCGTCACTGTAAGACAAAAGAAGCACAAGAATCTCTAATGAGGCTTTGAATGACTGGACCAACGCTGTGAAGTAACAGTTCATGAATAGGCACTGGGGGCTAAGTCATCTTAACTTACTTGTATGGGGTTTTGCCTGCTTACACCAGGGTGGATTTGGTCCTTTTTTGAACACTGTCCTTGGCCAAGAATCCACCTTTTATCCTTTTCTAATGGTCTTAATCCCATTCTGTTGAAATCTAGCAAGGCTTCCAAAATAGCCACGGAGATTCAGAGATAAGAATATTTATAGTTTTTCTAAATGCTTTTTTCCCCCTTCATTTCAAAGTGCTGAGTTTTAGTTTCAGTGTGTTGTGGTGATAATTTAGAGACATGTAATTCATGCTCCTGTAATTAATACAGTCATGCTTAGTATATTTATAATTTTGTCTCTGGATCCTAGAAATGTTTGAGAAATTATTTCCCTAAAGATAGAGCAATGGCTACCTCTACCTACCTAACTAGTATAGTTAAAGGAATACTCTCGCTGTTGCCCGTAGGCAAATACCCAAAATGAATCGAGGGGCCAACAGGGAATCCAGGGGCTCCAGATGTGCCATCAGCTCCATCATCACAACACACCACAGAGCCACAGCAGCTCCACTGCTAACTGAAGTCACAGACAAATTATCAATTCCTTACTTATTAGAGTGCTGAGATTAAGGAGAGCCAAACTGCTCGAGTGTCTCTTCCATGCAAAGTGAATGTTACTTGAATCAAAGGAGGTTTACCGTTGCAAGAATGATATTCCTGACTCCAAAAGAGTTCATTTAAAAGCGTTGCTGATGGTTTGATCTAAAACTTTGGGTTTTGCTTTGTATAAATGGAATCATACACAAATTACCTTTTTACAGTCAGAGGAATAAAAGTAGGACTTGCAGGATCAGGCTTCTAAAGCACAACATTTCTTTACAGACAGAAACTCTCTCTAACTTGAAGGAAAAACCTAACCTAAAGCAAAAAAAAAAATTTCTTCCTCCACCAAGAACTACTTGATTTTTAAAATGGAATGTAGGTGCTATAAAAAGTACAAATTCTTTTCTCACATTGTATTAAACTTCTTGATGTTTTTCAAACACAGACAAAATACAACTAACTCACCTCCTTAAAGATCTGTTGAACTAATTTAGGATCAAGAATTGCTCAGAATGGTATTTTCACATAAATTATCTGCCTCTTTTCAATTAGCTTTTATTATTTTAATGGTGGCTCCTCCCCCCCTCCCTTAGTGCTTTAGCCCAACTCACATAATTGCCTATATTTTATGTAAATGGAATTGTTACACCGTAAAATGATATACAAATGTGTCTACCACACAAAGTCCAATAAATGGTGTGAATAAACCCATTATTTTCAATGTAACGGCATCTGATAGCAGCCTGGGAAACACAGGGCTGACAGATGTGAGCCCATGACAAGCCCTGGAAAAAACTGAATGAGGAGCACTCTGTCAGACCACAATTAATTGACTTTTGAAATAACTCCTTTTTTTTCACAGTTCTACTTGGCTGAGCAAGATTCACAAATTGCTGTCTTGAACTTTTTAATGGGACAAAATAGCTGCCAATGAAAGTCTAAATGACATGGGTGCTGAATAGGAGTCATACAATGACCACACCGTGACATGTTTTTAACTGACATTTTGATTATTTGAGAAGTAGCAGCCACTCAACTGGGAGGGAATCAGGAAGGGGGGAAGAGATGGGAGGGACTTAGAGAACAGAACCAGAGTCTGTTAAACACTAGCCAAATACCATTTTATTTTAGGAAGAGAAACAAGTATAGAAAACATCCCAATAAACATCTTCACATATGTTCCCAGAAAATATGATTTGGAGGCCAAGTCTATTGTTCCTTGTGCTGTCAAAAAGTAATCACCAAGCTAAATCAAGAGGAAATTACGTTAGCAAGTAAAAAACCAGACCTCATATGAGTCACGAGTGTGCTGACTACCCTGGGCTTTCAGTCCCTGCTCCAGCCCTGGGCTGCAGTCACAAATATTTGCCTGTCTTTGGAGGCTGAGGCCAAACTCTGGCAGACCTAATTGACCTCTTAATCCCAGGGTCATCATGGGACAAGCAGTTAGTGAAGATGAGATTTTAATTTTTTTTTCTTAGTTTTTGTACTACCTGCCACGCTGATCAAGCAATACTGTTGTCTGACTCTGTGGGAGTCCTTAGTCATTTGTCTTCCTCCACCTGATGACCATGTTTTTGCTTACCTGAAAAGTCCCATTTCCTGGACAGGATGTTCCCCTCCTCGGCTAGGATGCAGCGGTACTGATAAAGGAGATGTAGCTCAGGCAGAGGAGATAGTTGAGGAGGGTGTTTGACAGTTCAGAGGACAGCACAGCCTGTGCAGCTCTCTTCCTCTTCCCCCTTTCTCCAATTTTCATGTAACTGTGGGTTATGCAGTAAAAGACCTGCTATTTGTACAGTACAGCATCTTTATTTCTGCCTGCCTTCCCGCTTCCTTCAACTTCAAGCACAGAACAAGACATTTAGAGTTAGGCTTTACCATGACTATTTATTGAATTCATAATATCACAATTAATTCACTTTACAGCTAAAAAGATCAACAATAGTCAGCTTCTAAAAGAGGTACAGTCATAAGACAGATAGCATAAAAATCTATGTCTCTTGCCCTGACAAGGATGTCTGGCTGATACATATCTATACGAGATAACATACGATATAGCATACATACTGAATACATGGCTGATTGATCAACAGGTTTATCGTTACATTAAGCATTTATTTTTCTAAGTGCAGTATTTTACTAATGTGCTTCATTGGAGAAAAGATTAAATTTAAACAGATAGTGTATTTTCAGTGGTGTTTCTCAATTTACTCTCAGTTGTACATTAATATGCAAATCATTCCACATTCTCATGGTTTTATTAACACCAGAATTAATTCTTTTTCTAGACTAGGTAAGTTGGGTTGTTTATAGAACTAAAAAGAGAAGCATAATTAAAATACATGAAGGTATTTTGTTTAAAATCAGTACAGCTTTGATAGTCACTGGCCGAGTAAAAAGACTTCAGTTGCATTGAGAGGCTTATGTACCATTACTTATCATACTACAACTAATATTTTTTCTAACATTGTATCACCCCAAACATAGAATCATGGAATTGTCTAGGTTGGAAGGGACCTTTAAGATCATCTAGTCCAACCATCATCCTAACTCTGATTAAAAAAACCACTCACAACCCATCACTAAACCTTGTCAATGTTTTGATATATCCAAGATATCTGAAGCTAAACTAAATAACAGTCTTCAGAAGTGCAACAATTCAGTTACGCGCTTCTCATTTCATTCCAGAGTGACTAGAAAGGATAGAATGAGTTTCTGTTATTCACAGCACAAAAGAAAACAAACAAAAGAGAATGAGGAGCACAGCGGCAGGCTTGTTTCACTGCCTGTAACCCAGAACACCTTCTGTGTTATACACCATTGCTCATACACCAATGCCACGTTTAAGGAATCCAACAGTGTCCAGCGTGGAGGAATAAGAGCTCTTTCTTTACTTCGCTCCAGGCTATGGCTAAAGCAGCCCATAGACTTAAAGGTTAATAAACACCCCTTCAAAGTCAAGAAGCAAGCAACAGAAAATGCAGACTTCCTCCGCTGCACAAACTGCCAGAGCTTTTTTCCCCATGACCAAGGGCCCGGCGTATTCCTTCAGTGCCTGCTGACTGATCTGCAGCCCCGTGGCCCAGCCCAGCAGCTGAAGAGAGAGGATTTCTCAGAGGAAACCGCTCCTGTCCCTCACTGCTGAAAAACTGGAAATGCAGGAAAAAAGTTTTGCAGTTACTGTTGGCTCCTATCAGGACACCACGTCCTCCTTCCACATGTTTTGAAGGGTTCTGCTTAGCTTGATGGTTTAAGTGCTGACTGTGCTTTGGAAAGCTGAGACCCTTGAGATGGTACAACTACTCCAGACAGCCACGGCACTTTTAGGTCCACCATTGATTCCAGATCCTACTCTGGCCAAAGAAATGGAAGTGTCTTACCAGACTTGTACTTTCCTTGACAAAGTACTAAGAGTTTACAAACCAAGTAAAAATAGAGACACCAAGCCTGAATTCCTGCAAGTGTCTCTCTAAAGCATTTTGGCTAATGTGAAATGTAGTCACAGAAGTTCTTCTGAACCTTGTAACATTTCCATTCCAAACTGCCAGCAGGAGCTTTGTGTTTTATTTCAGCAAGTGCCATAAGGGGGAGTTTTACAATTCAAATTTCAGGAATTTTCTCCTGTGAGCTTCCTTGTTCCTCACGAGCTACTACAAGAAATAAGCTCTAGCACGTCCAGAGGCATCAACAAGATAGAGGCCCAATAACCATGAGATCCAAATACCTTGATTGCCTACTGATTGTTTTAAATTTGTAAGGAAAAAAGGCAGAAGTACAGATTCCTCTGTACATGGTGAGGACTTCTGAAGACAAACCACAACCCAAGGCAAAGAACACGAGGAGAATTAAAAATCCCTTCCAGTGGGAATGGAAACACATTCTCCTTTCTGCTAATTCCCTGCATGTTTCAAAAGACTCACCTGTCTGCCTGCAGGCTTCACATAGAGAGGAAACAGCATTTTCTAGGTACTGTGCACACTGTCTTGAGACTCCTTAAATTAGAGTCCTAGTAACAGGTAGGAAATGCTGTTTTTACCACCTTAACTGAAGATACACCAGCAGAGAATATCTTGCTTCACAAAGAGGAAAAGCCTTGTGACAGGAGACCCTGCTTTCGGTGAACAGCACATTTATGCTCCCTACACAAGCCAAAAATGCACTCTCTGAACACCTCAACACACACCCAAAAAAAACCCAACCCAAAACCAAACCACATTGAAGATTCTTCAGTGTGAAGATGTGAAGCATGTTCTGGGTCGGAATACGAGACAGAATGCTTCATCCCACAAACTGTATTACTACAGGGTGCACACTACTGCTCTGCAGGATGTCTTCCTGAAGACTCTCTGGCATATTCCCAGTCTCTGAGACAGTGTCCTTTATTTCTGACAATTCTGACACCGTTTCTTATACATCAACTCTAAAAGTCTCTGTATTTCCATTCTGGTCAGTTTTGTCATGCTGGCTTTTATAACATGGTGTCGTAAGACCTGAACTTACTGATTTTAATAGGTTCTGTAGTGTCTCCTGGAGTCATACACTGAGGACACGTGTATTGTAAATCCTGACTCTGAACAACAGCCTGTGTACAGAGAAAAAGGCAACGCTGAGACCTACCACAAAGCCTGAAACCTGAATTTGTCAAGGAATTCTTCCTGTTTCTTTGTCAAAGGTGTTATTGTTACCTGTGAAACACATTTAGATCTGAAAATTACTTCTGGGGATCCTTTACAGCAAACCACCGAAGCCACAGTAGCTACTGAAGACATTTAATGATTGATTGTATCACACCTTTACTCTTAGAAGGACCATCAAGGTCTTCTGCAAAACCTTTCATCGTAGTTTTTCCCATCATCTGTGTCTTACTAAATCACTATCTAAAGGCTTTAGCAATTTAGACCAAAGAATCAGCAGGTACCCCAAAGTGCTTAAAAGAGAGAATATATTTTGTCTCAATCTATCTTTGAGACTTCTCAAAGATGACTTGCTGCAGGACTGATTATTTGCATACCTAGGCAAACTAAATTAAGATATGAGACCTTACTGTTTCACTTAGCAGAGAGTGAGAACAGTGCCACTGGAAAACAACCAGAAGGCAGGGTACAAAGCTTCAGTAAACTGGGCTTTGAATTTATAGATCAAGTTATGCTTCTCCCCAACGGCCATGAAAATCACAAAGCCTCCCTCGCAGTGGAGCAGCACCCCGATCTTAGTAGCCTTCACGTTGGGTAAGCACTTCTCAACATCATTATGCCAGGATGATATTTTGGAATTAAGCCACTCAATACACCAAGAACTGCTGTTCCTCCCCAGGCGACTCCCCGGCCCCTGCCGCTCCATGCTGCCGTAGCAGATGCCAATGCCACAGAAGCTGTTCTGCTGCAGCTCTACCTCCCAGTAGTGGATGCCTCTCTTGAAGCACTGGAACCCCAGCACTTGGGGACAATCAGTGAAGCGCTGAGGGTGGTAGTCGTAATGCAGGGGGGTGTCTGAGACAGACATCCTGGTGTATCTGTTAGACAGCATCACTTTGTTATGGGCTGTGTTGAAATCCAGCGTGATGTTAGCAGTATCTGCAAGGACATGAATTGTTTGAAAGTACTGAAGAGTAAAGCACTTTTATTTACACTGGCCTGCCTGGACACTTGATCCTGCATGGGTTTATCTCCCTGCTCTGCTTTCCTCCACAGTGCAGGCAGTTCTTAGGGCCACAGTAAGAGCTCTGGGTCCAGCTGCAGGTCCGTGTTACACAGCAGGCAAACAGAGGGCTGCATCCCCATGGCATTCCTTCACCACCCAAACACAGGCTGGCAGGAGGAGTGGATTGCTGATCTGGCAGCAAAAGGTATATCACATTGAATACCATCTGCTATAGCATCGTAAGCAGGCCATTGTGAGCTCACTTAAAAGCCTGCATTTCATTTCAAGCTTAAATCCAGTTTGTTATATCGTATTTCTAGGCTACCCTAATGAAGCCATCTGGGGGGAACCAAAGCCATTACCAAGCAAACTTTACCTTGTAAAAATACAAGAATACCAAAAATTGATCATATTCATCTGGCAAAAGAACCACTTAGAAACCTCCTGTCCCCTTTTCCTCCAAAAGTTTCCTTCATTTGTAGCAATTAGTTGATAACCTACTAAGCTAACTGAACCCCTCAAAGGTATTTCTATCAGGTAACTACAGAGGGCACATAACACCAGTGCAGTAAGTGCAGAAAGTTTGTCTTTAAGTAGTGTAACGTTGAGTGTCTTACACTGCAGAAGCTCCTCTCTGGGTTTCTTCAGAAAGCTGTCGATAAGTTCTTTAGCTGTAGCGGCGGCTGCGGCGCTTACTGTTCCCGTGGTTGGTGCTGTGTCAACAGAACAGAGAGTTTGGCCAGTTGGGAAGAAACCTGCACGCTCAACACACAGCCACAGCCACCCTCACATCGAAGTGGGCCTCCAGAGGTTACCTGGCTCGGCCTTCTGCTCCAAGCAGGGTTAATTTCAATATTAGCTCAGGTTGCTCACAGTCTTGTCAAGTTTTGAAAATCCCCTGTTGTGTCTGAGCAACCTCTCTCACTGTTGATCGCTCTCAGAGTGACTACTAAGAGCCTTCTCAGAGCAACAATTGAACAGAATACAGCAACACAGGTGACCATCTACTTATTTTAAGAGCAGTCAATGGAAATTAGGATAAGTATGCTGAAAGGTTGGACTTACCAACTTTAACAGGTTTCTTTTTCTCCTCTGAAATAAAGGAAGAAAAAAAGGGAACTGTGAATTCTACTGAAACTGAAAAGCCACTGATAGACTATGCCACCTCTAATGCCATCACCATCACTTTTCTGAAGCTGCAGCAGCAGATAAATTTTGCTTCCTATTTCACAGGGTCATAAGCCTGAAGGAACTTCAGCTCTGCTCCAGGATGCAGTGTTTTAGGGCAAGTGGCAATAAGCCTGCTCCCATGACTGCACCTTTTCTTTTTACAACAGAACTTCTAGTGCCTCAACAGAAGCTACAAGTTCATTCAACTCCAGAATCCCCAACAGACCCCACTGAGTGCTCCATACCTAAGGCTTGGGAATGGAAAGGACCACGTGTTGAGAGCTCAGAGGAAGTAACAGAAATAGTCTCTTAACACTTGGATTTATTTCAAAAAGAGACTATGGAGGATATTTCAAATAGGCTAGAGTGCCACATCAATACCAGCATCTGGACAAAACAATATTGACAGGCCCCAGTATCGTCTGCCACAATGACTGTCTCCACCCCAGACTTAGACTGTAGGCAAGATGTGGACAGCAAAACATTTGACTAAGGTTACTATTAATTACCACTTACTGGTATCTGCCTCCGCCTGCAGAGTGGCTTGACACTGGAGAAGGATTTTCTCTTTCTGGGTATGCTCTTGTGAGGGAAGGGGGGAGAAAAAAACCACCAGGCCGTGAACAGCTCATAAGCAGGATTCAATACATACAAATCCATCAGACAGATGTTTGGTACAAGTGAAAACAAACCTGCAAGAGCCAGAGGGTGGGGAGGCTCTGCTTGGTTGTACAGCCTGCACCGACACCGCTCTGGGCACACACTGAGGGCAACACACTGCTGTGTGGGGGCAGCTGACGAGGCACCCATCACCAAACAGCCCAGCACACCCACCCTTCCCCAGGCCAGAGTGCTCACCACAGATAATCACTGCATCACCCTGCAAACAGCTCCTGGCTAACTGCTTGAATTCATAGTTAGAAGAGGATGATGTTCTTTAGCACTTACGTGGTCCTGGAGGCTTTTTTCTGTTAGGAGCCACTGCTGGAAAGGTCTTAGTTTTCACAGGTATCGGTTTTGCTGCAATGGTGATATTTTACATTATAGTTTGTGTTGCCAGGAACAGTAATGCATTAGCAAGAACATTTTTCAATCTTATTTTTCAGTTACGTGAATAGAACTCCAGTGATACCCAGCAGAGATGGAAACTGCATAGACAACACCCGTGCCCCAGTCCGAGAGATTCTTTTGCTTAACCCGGTAAGTAGGGCTTTGTTCTACACCACTCACAGCATCCCCACCTTTACAGAGGGGTAACCAATAGTCCCATCACCCTAAAGCATTTTGTGTCTCTCCTCAAATCCACATCCTAACTGCATCCAACCCTGCTACATAGTAAAAACATACATTACTGTAATGAGTAAAGGCTGAGCTGTGCCAGAAGGGCATAGTAACATGATAGTCATCAGCTTATCCAAATATAGGTAACAGTGAAGAGACACCGGCATGTTTTTTTCTCCTAGTTTAGCCCAGACTGTAGCATTTTTGTGTGGAAATTGAGAACTGCAGAAGTTGGAGGACTCAATTTGTATTAGCCAACTGTATTTTCTGCAATTTTTTTTTTATTTTATTTGGATTGGAGGGAGAAGATCCCTCATTTGAGCTCAAAGTCAAGGCAGAAAATGCTAATTCTCCCAGTGATACAGTACCTTCCGCTTTCCTCTCCTTGCCCTGAATCACCGAAAGTTTCACAATGTCTTTAAGGTTAATGGCAGACTGGTAAGTGGATTGTATCAAGCTTTGGTCTATTTCAATTACAGGGACAAAAGCATCTTTTGTTGATGTTCGTTGCAGTGCTGCTGCTCTCTGAAATGACAAATAGAAGCTCTCATGCAGCCCACTGTGTAGCAGACAGAAAAATACAACCACGTTACTTTAAGTGGGGAGGGGTTTGTGCATTCCTCTCAAATTAAAAAGAGCAGAGGGTACAGTCAGACATGACCCATGGCAAAACTTCTGAATCAACCCACACACATGGATTCTGAACTGGTGTCTGAAGCAGCGAGAAAGGTCTACTGGACAACATCACACCACCTGCATCTCCAGAGCTGCAACACCTCATGGAGATGAGCAGAGCCTGGACTGGGGGGAGTTACAAGACACCACTTCAGCGCTCTTTCATTGGTATTTGTGTATGTATCAGTCCATCCTTATACAACAGGTTATTGCACACAACGGCATAATCATCACAAAGAACTGGATTCGCATTTCCAGGACATATTACCTTCAAAAACAGAATGTCATCACTTTCCGTCAGTGCCATCTCAATCTGATCTCTGAGAGAGTGAATTTCATTCTTCTTACTTCCCAGAACACCGTAAATATAGTCAAACTTGCCACAAACTCTTTTTTCTTCATCTGCAATTAGTTTTAAGATCTCGTTTTCTCTTTCTTCAATTAAAGCTTTTATTTCTGAAAACTCACTTCTGATCAAATCTTTCTTTCTGGAAACTGTCTCCTGGAGCAGAGAAGAACAAACACTGGTTTCAAAAGAACAGTTTGTGGACAAAGTACTGCTTACTGCTTCTACAAGAAAGCCTTTGAGGAACACGTAGGCTTCAATTACTTGAAATAGTCAACAGAAAAGCTGTGTATTTCTATGTAGCTTGGGAAGAAAACTTATTTACTGTGGTCTCCAGAGCCCTGCTGCAGGGGCCAGGCCAGCTGTGCCGTCTAGTGGTCACTGGGACAGGGCAGGGACACCAAACAGCCACTTGCACGGCTGTACCTGTTTTCTGCCTCCGAGATGTGGCATCTCTGGTTAATAAAAAGTTATTCCTGATCCTCCAAGAGATGTTCCAGAGGAGCACAGAAGTGCTGCCCCGGCGGCTTTTCAGTTTCTTGCTTCCCAGCACTCAGTTCAGAAAGGACAGTACAAGTGAGATCTACCTGATCCAGCACAAACAGCAGCCCCCGTCATCAGCTGAGAGCAAGGATTAGTTGTGGTCACTTACGGGAAGAGACACCCCAACTTTCTGCACTGGTGCAGCCATTACAGCTCACTAATCCTTTGGCTGGGGCTGCACAGAGCGGCACTTTCTGGTGCAAGAGGAAAGGAGGGGTTTGGGCCCCGTTGTGGGTTTGGTGTGCCAGCACATGCGGGTACAAAGCCCTTGCACGGTGGTTGGGTTACTCCCATCTCCCATGGAGCTGCCTGGCTCTGCCAAAATGCATTGGCAGGAGAAGATGTAACTGGGAAGAATAGGAGAGAGGCAATCTCAGTACTACAGCCTCACAGCTACTCACAAGAGCACGAGCATTAACAGCACACACTGGGCAGCGAACACCAAGCAACCTGGCAGCATTTTGAACAGTTACTCACAGCAGCTTGGCTTTGGTTTGTTTTCACAGAGCTCATTGCTCGAGCGGCTTTTTCACTCTGATTATGCAGCTCCATCAGTTTCTTCTTCAGCGCCGACTGCAGCAGAAGAGATCGGAAAGTATTTTAGAGAAGTGGTTGCCGTGTCTGCTCCGTCGGGTCGTGTTTACTGAAGTAAGAATGGGATTTACCGAACTTTTAAATAACCCCTGTAAGCATTTAGTACTAACGATTTATGTCCTACTGCTCCTTAAACCCTGCAGGATGTAAAACAACCCTTCTGCAGAGGTGTGGGTTGAGCACCTGGCACCTTCCCCACAGCTCCACCTCTCCCCACAGCAGGATGCACGGTGCCACTCTCTTCTGATAATGGCCAAGTGCTTTTGTCAGCACAGCAGTTCCCAGTGCTAGGAATAAACCCTACCTTAGCTCTCAGGCCAGACTCTGGGCATTAGGTTAATGGGGGTTAATCACCCCTTTCATTTTAATCGAGACTTTTATTGCTCAGATGTGAATTACCTATTCCTTTAGTTCAAGATGCTGCTAAGCTAAACCAGGGAGGACTCTGTAGGGTAAACAGTACACACCCTCACCAAACAGAGGGGAGTTTGGCCTCTTTAACTTTTCAGGTGTGTTCTGATTTTCAGCTGTGCTCACTTTAAGATACAAAGGCCAGGTTTCCCTCCCTTCCACTCCGTGGAGAGCCTACTCCTGGTTTTTATCTACCTGCTGGAGCTCTCCCTCGGCTACTCTTATAATCCTTCGCTTTGTAAAAACACAGACAGAGCAACATCTGTCCACAGTCCCCTACAGCCAGGCAGCACACCCTGTGCCGTGAGCAGGAGAGGAGGCTCTGAGTTGGTGATGACACTCGCAGAGGTGGGACACCTCACCATTCACCCAACCCAAGGTGGGGGCTGGCAATCAACCCCGTCACAGCATCTTGGAGCACCATCTTGGAGAGAGCGGGGAAACGCAAGGAACGACTCTTGACGACGTGCTCAAGCCCATGTTGGAGGGCAGATAATGGTTTGCCAAGGCCAGCTCTTGGTCCAGCTTCCTCCTGACACTCCACACCCAGCACCCAGGGACCCAGCAGGCCCCAGGGGAGCAAAGGGGTAGCTCTCGGAGGGTGCTCCAGCCCCGGGCAGAGCCGGACACCCCCACCACTCACCTCGGCGTTGGCTTTGGCCAGCTGCAGGGGGTTGGTGTGACACAGCTTGTGGCCGAGGAGGCAGAGGGAGCAGATGCAGATGCCATGCTGGCTGCAGAAGAACTCGAAGATCTTGTTGTGCTGGCGGCACTTGCGCTGCTGCAGGTCGCGCAGGGGCGGGCAGAGCTGGTGGTCGCGGAAGGCCGGGCTGTCCCGGTGGGGCTGCAGGTGCTCGGGGCAGAAGGAGGCGGTGCAGGTCAGGCAGGTCTGCACGGCCGGGGCCTCCCGGCAGCTGTCGCAGTAAACGGGGGTCGCCTCCTCCCCCAACCCCACCGCATCCTCCTCCTTCTCCTCCTCCTCGGCCCCGGTGCGGCCCCGGAGCTGCTCCACCACCCGGCACAGCACCGTGTTCTTCTGCAGCTGCGGGCGGCCCGGGAAGGTGGCCCGGCACTGGGGGCAGCTGAACTCCGACTGCCCGGCCCAGGAGAGCTCCAGGCAGGAGGCGCAGAAGTTGTGGCCGCAGGGCACCGTGACGGGGCTGCTGAAGAGACTGAGGCAGATGGAGCAGGTGAGCTCCTCCTCCAGCCCCGCCAGACCCGGCTCCGACGCGGTCAGCGCCGCCATCGCCTCGGCCGCTGCTGCCCCGTAACTGCAGAAACGAAACTGGGGCTGCAGCTTTCCGGGAATTTACGCGCCCCGATCCCGCCCCTGCGGGAGGGGCGGCAGCACCGGGACCGGCCCCGGGACCCGCCCGGCCCCGCGGGGCAGAGCCGGGGGTGGGCGGCGCCGCCGCAGCCCCCGCGGGACCGGGACGGGACGGGACGGGGATGCTGCGGGGCGGCCGCCGTCCCCGGGAGCGTCGGGGAGGCCGATCCCGCGTCACCCATCGCAGCCCGGCAGGTCTCGGCTTTGGTTTCTAAACCAAAAAATGAGTAATTTCGGCCGCGAAGGCCCAGCCGGGCGGTGGGGAGCGCTGGCTCCCGCTGCCCCTTCCAAAAGCGGACAAGAGGAAAACCCCGGAGGCTCCGGCCGCTGCCGGGCTCTTGCACCGGCAGGTGTGTGCTCCCGGGCAAGGAAACATGTGAACCCCAACTCCCACCGAGCACAGGCCCCAGCTGCCCCCAGCCCCGGCTGCTTCCCCCTGAGCTGCGGTTAACCTGCCCGTTTCAAAGTTCACATAAGCTGTCGTCATCATCTCAACAGAAGATACTTCCTCAAATTTTCTTTTCTTCAGTCCAACTGTTGGATAATCACTGTTTCTAACAGAAACACCGGATGCTGAACAGCAATCTGTGCAACTGCTCCTGTTACAACTAACTCGCCTCCAAATTCTGCCAGTGCCCTCTTCCTGCTCCATCTTCTGCCCCGTCTGCTGGTGTCCCAGGGACTCCCTTGGTGTTCTCTGTGCTTCACACTGGCAGCATGGGTGAAATGGAGCAGCCTGGAACAAATCCATGACAGTCTCCCCACCCCTCTGAAGGCTTTAAACAGAGCCTGGTGATCTGCAGTGGAAGAAGCCATCTGCTCTCAGCTGCATTTCCAGTGGCCAAAGGACACCTGGTGTGGAGAAGAGCTGATGTTCCTTTTCATGTTGTTAAGTATTAGCACACAATTGTGAGGTTTCTGTGCTAGTGTTAAGTCTTCAGAGACTTCAAAAAATGTCCAGGAATTGTATAAAGCACTCAAAAGAGGCCATGGTGGTTTGTCTGTTGTAATTAGTGCTTTGAAAGAAATTCCTAGCCAGTTATTTTGGATTAATCTGAATGGTCGTTGTAAACCTGCATGACACGGATAATGTTGACTTTGCCTATGTCAATAATCTGCCCCAGGCTCATAATACTCCTTCAAGATGAACTATGGAGCTCTCGTGTCCTACGGGCTGACTCACTGCTGAGTAATGGTGCAGAACAACAGGAGGGATTCAGAGCTGCCATGGCTTTGACAAAGGAGTGAAAAGTTCAGGGATCGCCTGTGACCTGCTCGAGGGTGGAAGGGTTTCTAGGAGATGGGCACAGCGCCGCTGTCACAGCTTCCTTGGGATATGCAGATCAGGACATCACTAACTGCTGTCAGGGAAGCAAACACCTGAAGGGTGCTGGCTGACTGCAAAGGAAGGTTCTTACAGGGCTGTGTCGTGTGTGTCACCAGAGACAGGACCAAAGAGCAGCTGGTAATGTTTACGTTTTGTATTTTCCTAGAGGTGAATGAAGCACTTTTGTCCTAGGCTTATCTGCATTAAGCCACTGTCATCTTTCGAAGTCTCAGCACCTTCACTGGATTTTCTGCAGCATTCACCTTGTATCTACCGACGCAGACACCGGTAGGCAAAGACCAAGGGTGAACATACACCCTGACAATTGTAGTTTTTCCTTCTGGAGCAGAACACGGGATGTTTAGAGCCCAGATGAACAATTTAAGTTCTCCATTGTCAAAGAGGGCTTGAAATTCTATTTTGAGTGAGCCCAACTGCTCCTGTTGTCTAAAAAGCAATAATGTTTAACACTAAAAATTACTGAATTATTACGCGCCCCGACCCCGCCCCTGCGGGAGGGGCGGCAGCACCGGGACCGGCCCCGGGACCCGCCCGGCCCCGCGGGGCAGAGCCGGGGGTGGGCGGCGCCGCCGCAGCCCCCGCGGGACCGGGACGGGACGGGACGGGGATGCTGCGGGGCGGCCGCCGTCCCCGGGAGCGTCGGGGAGGCCGATCCCGCGTCACCCATCGCAGCCCGGCAGGTCTCGGCTTTGGTTTCTAAACCAAAAAATGAGTAATTTCGGCCGCGAAGGCCCAGCCGGGCGGTGGGGAGCGCTGGCTCCCGCTGCCCCTTCCAAAAGCGGACAAGAGGAAAACCCCGGAGGCTCCGGCCGCTGCCGGGCTCTTGCACCGGCAGGTGTGTGCTCCCGGGCAAGGAAACATGTGAACCCCAACTCCCACCGAGCACAGGCCCCAGCTGCCCCCAGCCCCGGCTGCTTCCCCCTGAGCTGCGGTTAACCTGCCCGTTTCAAAGTTCACATAAGCTGTCGTCATCATCTCAACAGAAGATACTTCCTCAAATTTTCTTTTCTTCAGTCCAACTGTTGGATAATCACTGTTTCTAACAGAAACACCGGATGCTGAACAGCAATCTGTGCAACTGCTCCTGTTACAACTAACTCGCCTCCAAATTCTGCCAGTGCCCTCTTCCTGCTCCATCTTCTGCCCCGTCTGCTGGTGTCCCAGGGACTCCCTTGGTGTTCTCTGTGCTTCACACTGGCAGCATGGGTGAAATGGAGCAGCCTGGAACAAATCCATGACAGTCTCCCCACCCCTCTGAAGGCTTTAAACAGAGCCTGGTGATCTGCAGTGGAAGAAGCCATCTGCTCTCAGCTGCATTTCCAGTGGCCAAAGGACACCTGGTGTGGAGAAGAGCTGATGTTCCTTTTCATGTTGTTAAGTATTAGCACACAATTGTGAGGTTTCTGTGCTAGTGTTAAGTCTTCAGAGACTTCAAAAAATGTCCAGGAATTGTATAAAGCACTCAAAAGAGGCCATGGTGGTTTGTCTGTTGTAATTAGTGCTTTGAAAGAAATTCCTAGCCAGTTATTTTGGATTAATCTGAATGGTCGTTGTAAACCTGCATGACACGGATAATGTTGACTTTGCCTATGTCAATAATCTGCCCCAGGCTCATAATACTCCTTCAAGATGAACTATGGAGCTCTCGTGTCCTACGGGCTGACTCACTGCTGAGTAATGGTGCAGAACAACAGGAGGGATTCAGAGCTGCCATGGCTTTGACAAAGGAGTGAAAAGTTCAGGGATCGCCTGTGACCTGCTCGAGGGTGGAAGGGTTTCTAGGAGATGGGCACAGCGCCGCTGTCACAGCTTCCTTGGGATATGCAGATCAGGACATCACTAACTGCTGTCAGGGAAGCAAACACCTGAAGGGTGCTGGCTGACTGCAAAGGAAGGTTCTTACAGGGCTGTGTCGTGTGTGTCACCAGAGACAGGACCAAAGAGCAGCTGGTAATGTTTACGTTTTGTATTTTCCTAGAGGTGAATGAAGCACTTTTGTCCTAGGCTTATCTGCATTAAGCCACTGTCATCTTTCGAAGTCTCAGCACCTTCACTGGATTTTCTGCAGCATTCACCTTGTATCTACCGACGCAGACACCGGTAGGCAAAGACCAAGGGTGAACATACACCCTGACAATTGTAGTTTTTCCTTCTGGAGCAGAACACGGGATGTTTAGAGCCCAGATGAACAATTTAAGTTCTCCATTGTCAAAGAGGGCTTGAAATTCTATTTTGAGTGAGCCCAACTGCTCCTGTTGTCTAAAAAGCAATAATGTTTAACACTAAAAATTACTGAATTACAAGCTCCAACAGGGGAGGTTTAGATTGAACATTAGGAAAGAATTTTTCACTGAAAGAGTGGTCGGGCGTTGGAACAGGCTGCCCAGGGAGGGGGTGGAGTCCCCATCCCTGGCTGTGTTTAAGGGCCGTTTAGATGCAGTGCTGAGGGACATGGTGTAGGGGAGGACTTTGTAGAGTAGGGGAGATGGTTGGGCTCGATGATCCCAAGGGTCTCTTCCAACCTCAATGATTCTATGATTCTATGAATAATTTTACCATTTAAATAGCTACTGAAGTTAATACTCTTTTTGCTTCCTTGCAATTATTTGAGAACTTCTTCACGTGGTTCTGAACTAAATCTAACCCTCTGCCCAGATACTGTGGGTTGAAAGTGCCACTCGGAGCCAGAGCAGGCAGGTAGAAGCACAGCAGAATAATCTGTGACCTGTGCGTGCCTGGCTGAGCCAACATCAATCAGGGGTTCTGACACTCTTCACTTTTCCAGATTTAATACTCAAAGTGGTTTCAGTAGGTACAGTTTTCCCATCAAAATTATAAAAAAGCCCAAATTCCTAAGGAGCTGACACCTACCCAACAGGTTTTTTGCGAGTTCTGTACTCCCAGCAATAAACTTCCAGGTCTAAGGTCTGTTTGGGAGGTTCTGGCTGCAGCAGCTGGTGGTGCCTGTAGGGCTGCAGCGTGTGCGTGACTGTAGCCTGCCAGCTCAAACAGTTTGAGTCATGAGATCAGAATTTGTCAATAAAAAGCAACAGATTTGTTTAACAAACCCATAATGCTAAATTGCATAGAGGAGGGTGGCCAGGAGCCCCCGTGACCGGCAGCTGGGGCTGCCCCAGCAAAGGGGCTTGTAAGAGACCACGGAATTCTAGGGACAGAATGCAAGCAAAAGGGTTTAGTTGAGAGCATCACCAGCTCCCTGTGGGATTCAGGTGCACACTCTGTCCTAGTCTGTGTTTCTCACCCGTTCAGTGCCCTGGCCCTGCCCCACTCCCCGGGGATGAGGAGCCCAGTGTGTGGCTCTGGGCAGGGCAGCCAGCCAGCCCCCTCAGGCTGCCCTCACCCCATTCACACTGTGCATCCAAGCAGTAGTTTCACCCAAACTTGACAACAATGGGTAAATAATACTCAAGATTTTATCTTCAAAAACATCCTCTCTCTGGGGCGTATTTGTTTTCAACTGTCATCTGTTCATCACAGCCAGGCTAACTTAATGCAGCCAGGCTGCAGTTCATTAGCAGCCAAAATGCACTGAGGGCAGTTGAATCCTGCTTGAAAATGTTGTGAAATTCTTGCATTTACTTTCACAATTTTAT